TTGCATTTTATGTCATTTAATAATAACCTTCCATGGGGTTATCAAAAAGCTACAAACAAAGGCATCACATTCCTTAATTAGCTTTAATTAAATTAAATTTCTTTCAGCCCCGTATTATATTTTATATAATACAATACTGTTGGTATTATCACATTTTTGCAGCATTATTTGAACAAGGGTTTCAGTTTTTCAGAAAACTAATTCTTTCTTAAAGAAGGAGAAGAAATAGAGTGAAAAGAAAAAATATTTACAGTCTAGTAGATACGAATTATCTGCTTGAAATCACAAAATCTTTTTCAAATGTTGCAATAATTTGTATATTTACCTCTCACATAACTAAAAACAAATTAAAGTGACATCTGGATAAAACGGAATATTTTTATTCCGTCATGAATAATGAAGTCTGTCACACCTGAAATACCACCTTGAACTGAGCCAAAATATCTGTTTGGTTTGATCAACATTACATTTCATCTCAGGTAACCTGATGCGACGCTTTCTTTTTAATTTGAAAACAAGTTCTAGGAAATCCAGAAGTACTGAATATATATCATAATTTTCACAACCAATCATGAAGTCTGTATTTTTTCGATCTCAGTCCTTTTATATACCAGTCATTATGCAAGAAAAAAAATTTCATGAAATCCAAAATCCAAAGTTCGATTCCTTTAAATTCTTGGAAACTTTTAAAAATTTCAATTTCTATCTCTCTAAGCAAGCGAAAAATAAACTCAAATTTAGCTAGGTAATAATTTTTGCTGTTTTTGCTGAAACGCGTCAAATAATCAATGTAAGCTTTAGATCCTAGATTAATTTAATTTTCTCGAGATAAAATTAGTAAATTTCGTTCATCTTTTACCCTTCACTACTCAATTTAACACCCTCTCGGTCTTATTTGCAACTTTCAATCAATTAGTTCACTGACATCAATGAGCCTTGTTACTTGAAGGATCCTTCACTACCGCCTGCTCTTATTGTTTATTATTATTTGAATTGGACTCTCCATGACAGGTATATGTCATTTTCTTAAATTCAATCAATCGTCATCAGCAATACAAGTCATTGTTCGAATTTCGAGTATCACCTACTACTCCATGTTTAAATTTGGCAATACGTTTGTGATCTTTTCTTCAATTGTCTTTGAAAGTTAGAGAATTAAGAAAACTAAAAGAATGAATAAATTACCGGAAATAAATAATTTTGGTTCAAGCCGTCCAAAAGCTTGTTTGCAAAATCTTAGCCACTCAGAACTCCCATTTTTTACTGAAGTTTCAAAAGACCGAAGACTGATGCTGGAGATAATAACTACGATTAATGAAAAAGTTATTAACAATGTTTAGCACTGATAATGTAAGCTTTAACCATAATGATTAGTAAAGCTGCATGTCATATTATCTCTCAGAGCAATTAAACATTACAATAATATGATAAATGCAATTAGTTCATTAAAAGCAGATAGAATCAAACTGTGTCTGTTTACTGATTGTCCTATCATTTTATTACTATTCTATCCTTCTATAATCCGTTTGATTCAGTTATAGTGCTTAGAAATAAGAATGAAATTTCAATTAATATTGGAAGTGATAATGACTAACTGATAAGCATTTGCTTAGCACATCTTTAATAAGCCTTACTGCTCAATTTGAAAAATTGACAGTAAAAATGGTATGATTGTTATTACTCTAATTACAATACTGTAAATGGCACTATCATTGTGATTATAGATCATATCAGTTGATATTATTTAAAATGTCATTAAAAATAGCTGTGATATTTTGATCTGGTGATTTTCCTCATTATTGAAGTTATTTTACTTATTATTGATCTTAATCAACAATTAAGGGCAGCAAAGACAAGTTTGTTCCTCTTTCATGAGAATTCTTCTTTCATAATGTTTAGTTTTGCAATAAACCGTTTAAAATGTTTGCGAAATAAATCTGTGGAAGACAAATTCTTATTTTTCTTCATTTGTTGTTTCAATTTGGGGAAGATTTGATGAAACAATAAAACTGATGGGAAAGCGATTATTGTTGTACTTTAAAATTATTATTTTTTAAGGTCAACAATAATCGCTTAGAAAGTTGATGGAATTCACACCAAGCAATCAACTTTGTCATATAACAAAGTGTACTCTAAGTTTGTGGTTCCCTAAAGAATTTATTCAACATTTATGTAGATGCCCCTCATGGGGATTCTTGTTATCATCTAGCAGTAATTGGGTATTCTTTTTATTCCTCAAATTAGTTTTAGAAGGTATGAATGAAGAAATCGAAGGCGATAACCGAACGGTCATTAATGTTTTCACAGTTTTATGAATTTTTTTTTTGGCGGTTATTTGTGATAATAAGTTTCCATCGTGTTATAAGTTTTCGAATTCTTTTCATTTAATTATTTCAATAGCAAAATATGCACAAACTAATTTATTCCTCTTATATAGTGTAGAAATAATCGTTTTTAGTCTTTTTTATTGTAATTATAAACCGCACCTTTCCAAGAATTTGAGAATCTTAACAGATTTGGAATTAAAAGAAGTTTGTTGTTAATTACATATTTAATTAAAACAACTGCGAGATTTTGAAACATTTAGGACTTTCGTAGATAAGTCTTGTTCGAAGATAAGTAGTTTATAAATTCAAATTTAGAAATTTAGACTTGAATTAGGTCTCCCAAACATATTGTGAAAAAGTTATGTATGGCTAACAGCATTATCTCAGTTTGTTACCCGCTGTGTTCTAACCCAAAAAATCATTACTCCCCTTTCTCCTCCTCATAACAACACACAAACAAACAAATGCCGCTTGATTCTGTGCACCTTATTTGAATTTTAATTTCAGTTGGTCGCATTATTCGTCTCTTCGAAATTCGGTAACCTTTTTTCCGATAGAAGACTGAAACTTTCCTTTTTCTATTTGATGCTTAGAATTTATTGCCAATTTCCTTTTTTTTAAAAAAAGAAAGCAAAATTGGAAATCATCGAAAAAGGTTGAGTTGCTCAGTTTTGATTTTTATTAAATTTAAAAATTGTTATCATATCGATTCTTTCAAAGATGCTTTTTATAGTATTACAATATTGGTAGCTAAAGCTCAGTGATAGTAACAAATCTGTAAAGAGCTAATGGAAGTTGTAACTAACGAACAGTTATGGTTTTGTAGTCTGTGATAACAATGATACATTTATGATAGATCAAGAAAGTATTTTAGTTACATGTACTCAAATAAACGGCGTATTTTGATTAGGTGCCTACTGTCAGAATTCATTAATCTTATTCGTCCCACAAAATCTTTTGAAAGCATTGGAATTTTACATTCTTCCAAGAAAGCAATAAAGAGAAGTTGGAAGCTAAAAAAGAGCTGAGAAGATTTAACGGTATTTAAATGAGCAGTTGCTTGTCAGCTTTCCTCCTCTTTCCTCTGCGGTATGCTTTGTTTTGATAACGGTAACACCTCAACACAAGGATCCCTTATGTTGCTTAATCGCATCCTTTAAGGTACGCCTACCCTTTGCTTAATTTTCTTAATAACGATCTCATCTTCAATTTTCTTCTCTTCATTGACCTTAGCTATTTGCTACCAGCAGTGGTTACTATTTGTTTCAAGTACACTTGTAGTACCAAACAGGAACTTTTTTATTTATCTGCTCCAATTTTTTTTTTCTTTTCTATTATATTTTGTTTGAAATAACGAGTAAATCGGTTCAATTTATCCATCATCCTTTTCAAATTATCACATTCAAAGAACTGCATTTAAAATTCAATTTATCCACTTTCATCTGGAATATTTATCCAGTAATATCTCAGTTTTTGCTATCACGTGATATTTGATATGATATAAATCAAATGATTTCGGGTAATATTTCTAATTAAGTAATTATTGGATAACATTCTTACTCTTCAATTTAATTAGGTTATGTAAAAAAAAAAAAAAAAAAAACACTGGATGGATAGTAAAATAAAAGACAGAGAGTAAGGAAGTAAGGACACTGATCTTTCTGATTTCGGTTTGATGCTCACTTCCTGAGGTAACCTGTATCAAGTCATTCATTCACCTTCTCATTTTTCCGCATATTTCTTCGTTTGCATGTCGCAGTAATGTTTGTTCTGATTATTATTTCTGATAACCTAAATTGTCTTCTGATAATTAGCGTCTAATGATTTCAAATCATATCACTGTTATTACAATTCATCTTTTAATTTCTTAGCAACAATCAATTTCATCCCGTGTTTGTATTATCCGATATGATATTCTTCCAACCGACACTTCCTCAGAGAAGGATCAGTTGACTAAGACACAGGGAAGTGGAATTGTTGCGCTCAGCCTCAATTAGTGGATGCTTGAGTGACGTCGACGGCAGTGAACTATGGACTGAATGTTCTGGCAATAAATCAACTCTGTGCGAAAATTTCATTTTAATAAATATAGACGATTAATTAATTCTATAGAATTTTTCATTTTATGGGACTGAAGCACCAAAAGCTTTTAATAGCTCTGAAATATCAAGGATGCAAGTTTTATGATTTGAGTATTTAAGAGTTAGCTATCCAAAACAGAAAAAAAAAAAGAAAATAAGTAAGTCGATCATGTTCTTTTGTTCAAAATTTTCCAAGTTATCGCAGACTAAGAATTCTTTATTGCATTTAAATTGTCACATCTAAATTTTTGATTTCCAGTGATTGTAAGGTCCGTTTATTTCAAGCTAAATCTGAGTCTTAGAATTCAATGCTTAAATTGAGTTAAGCATTAATGTATATATACCCATCGACTAGTACAATATAGCTTTCATAATGTTTTTATTGGTTTCTGTTGTTTCCATCTGCTTATTCAAAAATTAGAGAATTATCATTACTTTTCTCTGGAAATTTATTTCAGTTCATTTTGGACAAGTGAGATAAAAAATATTTCACTTTACTGAACAGAATGCCGTTAGTAACTTTAACAGAAAGTAAAAATTTTGCTCATGCTCATGAAAGTAATCACAAACTATTTCTGTATTTTGCAGTTGAATGATGAAAATTCTGCTAATAACTGCATTATCATTATCATGGTCATGGTCAATCTTGTGCACCACATTGGACTCTTCACGAGGCATATTTTGGCTAAGTAGTAAGCTGGAAAATATTGAGTGGCGAAAAGGTTGCTTGACAACAGCTGGATGTGCACAGCCACGATTTCAACTATCACTCTTAAATGCTATCACTAATGAAAAATTGTCGAAGAGTTGGCTTATTACACCAAAGCTTATGCAGGTTAGAACTATTAGGTAGTTTCTTTTCAGTTTCTCTTCAACAATTTAATAATTAAATTGTGAAATTTTAAGATTGTTGCATGAATTTTAAAGAAATTATTGATTATAATTGTTCAGAAAAATGAAGCGATCTATAAACAGAATAATTTTTAATCAGAGTGATATAAAAAAGGAAGCGAGAAAAGGAAGCATGAATGAGAATAATTCTAAATATTGATGCTGTGAATTCTTCAAATACCAGAGTTATCTTTGAAGTACTAGAATTTGAAAACTTTTTTAAAAGTAAAACTAAAAAGTTTCAAAATTTAGACTTATCTAAACTATAAATTATACCAATAAATGTAATTTTGGGAATTAGTATTTTCGTGGCCTACAAAAGATTTTATTTTGAGTTAGAGATTAATGCATCATTTGAATGATTTTTGAAAATTAAATATTAGTGTGTCACGTCACTTCTACAACATGTGCTACATATACATTCTATGACATCAAAGGGCGAAGTAATTAGCTAGGACGCCACCGGGTCGTGTCTTTGATGGATGATTGTTTGCTGATCTTTGACAATTGATCATATGCTTTTCAGCGAATGTCTGTTAAGTACAGGAAATTTTCCATTTAAATAATAATGATTATTGGCTCTATAAAATGGTTTTCTTGATAAACTTAGCTAAACCTAAAATCTTGATCGAAATACAGCGCAGAGAGGTTTGATTAAAGATTAACAGAAATTAAAGGTTGCTGTTTCGTAGAACAATTTCATTTTTAGCAGTTTTTTCTAGAACTTCAGATTAATTTGCAAAATTAACTTTGAAATTTGCAGGAAAGGCAGCGTATATATGTGACGCATTGGAGTGACGGTAGTCCGAATGATATTCAGATTTCATGCGAAGTCATAGGTGTAGATCCGACTTATGGATTTCCAAGAATCTGTGATTCGTCCGCTTCAGTTGACGTTTATCAAAATGAAGTAAATTTAGTAAAAGACTTATAGTTTCAATCGGGAAGCATTTCAAAACACTTGAACTTATAAAATTGTTTCTTTTCAATACATATGCATATTTAAATTTAAGTCATAAAATTTCAAGTTCATGTGCAAGATTTTTTTTAGCAATTTTGAAGTGACTAAAACATTTGTATTACACATCTTGCTATTGTAATGAGTGTTCTAAGGTAGTCTGAAAAGAAGGCAGAACAAATAGATTGGGCTCATGCCAAGAATAAGAGTTGGAGCAAATGAGGAATTTATTTATTCTGAAATCTGCTTCTGTTTTGATTTATCAGAAAATTACAGAAAATAATAAAAAGTGATAAATATGATTGAAAATGATGTTTAATAAAATGAAATTAATGCACTATTAAAATCAAAAGATGGATAAAATGTACAAAGTGATACTTTTTTCTTATAGTTATGTTACTTTCCGTTTCTTTCGCATTGCAAACCGTTGAAATCATTATTTTGTTTTGAAACGCAGAAATTGCTAAAAAATCTAGGTGAAATAAAATTTCTACCACATTTAAAATAATTGAAAATGGCAGCAACATATCCCGCTTTTCTTGTGGCATAGAATCATCTTAAAGCTATTTTCAATTTCATCAAAAAGCTAACCAATGGATGGAATAATTTATTTTGAAACACTTTTATTCGTTTCACTTATATAAAGTTTCATTATTGCGCAACTAGAATTATTTTCCTTTTTATCTGCATTAAATAAAATTTAATTCACAATTGAAATTCATGAAATAATAGAGTTAGACTTACTATTATTTCCTAACATTTTCAACAATTATAGGAGAAAAGCCTTCAGAAAAGATCTGGCACTATATCATTAGGCGCTGATGGCAAAATCAACATCAGGTTGACAGCTCGATGTTTCAACAGCACGATAACCACGGAGAGACATGAAGAGCGATGTCCCTGGTGCATCGAATACAGTGATGATACTATGATCAATCAACAGGTAAGTATTTTTTTCGTTCTTCGCTGCATTTAAAATATCTGTGTCACACTACTGTCCACTTACTCAATGATACCAATTCTCTATTAATTCTAGTCATCTCATAGTCTATATCATAGTCATGCAAAATTTATATACATCTTTTTTACTGACATAACTAACTCATAACACTAAAGCAACAACCAGTATTTAATTGGAATCATGCTGCAATTTTTCTGAATTATCCAGATGCTTTTTGCTCTTAGCGTATAAATGCCGAAGATGCAGCAATGAGGAAAGTAAATTTTTCAGTACCCAGAAGATTTGAAATCTGGTTTTGTGCAATTTGTTGGAACCGAAAGTCATCTGAATATTCTGCTGACAGTACTTGCTCTGACAGCAGCACTGAGTAGTGCATTTTGCGCATTCATTCTCTATCTTTACGTTCGGCAGAAGAAAAGTAGAGATTTATCACCCAAAAAATGTCAATTACCTGGTGAGATAGGTACAGCGCATATAATGATGCATAATGAATCATCCAATGGTTCCGTTGAGAGTACCAGGTGAGCTACTTCAATATTTAAATCAGGATTCAGAGTTTTCATATCACTGTTGTCTTTAAGCAGTGTATTTTAGGTTCTGTCCAGAAAATCTTGATATGGCTGAAAATGTTACGTAATTGCAACTTTTCTAGCTATTCATAGCTAACACTATTAAGACAATTCATTAGCTATTGCAGGTATGATATCCCTTGGGATCACAAGTATCGTCTAATACCGAGATGGACAAGCTCGAGAAGCAATTCCAGTGGTGTATCACCACCAGATACGTCATCTACATTTACTACATCATCGCAGCATTCAAAACCAACAAAAATTATCGTTGGAAATATCTTAAATCAAATAAATTCGGCAAATTCATCGATTTATGAAAGACCTGAAGACGACGTTTTAGGTGTATATGATCTGAAACAATGCGTGTGTTGAATCCAGTAAATAATGTACCAGTATTTACTGTACATATTAAATTTAATTTGTGAAATGTACACATTTGAACTAGAAATTCTGAAAGTGAAGGTATTAATCTGATACATTATTACCTCGTATCACGTGATCTCTTTCGATGCCTGTTATGATCTCATTTGATGTAAATATTCACCTAAATAGTAATACTAATTCCCTGGAAAAAAAAAAAAAAAAAAAAAAAAAAACAAGAAAGAAAAACCTGGAAGATGTTAAATATGACGTAAAGTGCTTCTTGAGACTTGCTGTAAATATTTACAATAAAATAGTACCAAAGATTCCAGATGACCTACTGCTTCTTGAATGCTAATCCAACCTAAAGTATAAATAACCTTCAAGTAACTTGAAGTGTACTTTCGAGAGAATATGTATAAATTGTTTGTCACAAAAAAGTTTGTTTCAATAAAACATTGTAACATTTATTTACAGCAATGACTCGACAGATTCTATCCAAAATATATATAACATATATCAATGGAACCGCGATAGAAGTAGAGAAATGATATGTAAGAAATAGAAGGAATGCGTAATGATTATGCAACAAAGATGCTTTTGTCGCTTAGCCCGAAAGAAGGACATGTTTTGAAGCCTTAATGTGAACTTATAAGTTAAGAAAACAAAAAGGATGAAAAACAATATGAGGGAAGAGAACAGCTGTTCGTTTTCTATAAAAAATGAAATTTCTACAAGAATAATAATACTACTTAAGTAGATATACTTTGGGCGAAGAAAGTTTAGTGATTTTGTGTGGATTAAATGAATTCTAATTTGATATAAAAATAATTCGAAAATGGCATTTAGGCTGAAATGCGATTGCTGCATGACAAACAATAAAAGTGGTCTTATAATGAGTTTAATTAATAAAAGGATTGTAACTAGCAATTTTGTAGTCTGATGCCTAGTTGGCATATTTGAAAAATGAAAATAGTTAAATAATAAATTACAATTATCAATGGTTATCTTCCTGGTTAAGAATAGAGAAGCTCAAAATCTGTGAAAAAAGGGACATAGAAAAAAATAAAATACCTGAACTTTAAGTTTCCTCATTACATCAAAATTTTCTTAAAAGAATTCATATTGTTTATAAATTTGAAACTGTGGTACATGAAAGTAAGGATACCAATTTAAATCATTTTCTATTTTAACTTGAAGACTTTCTAATTCAAATTTTCTTGCATTTAATTTTCCTTACTTTTAAAGTACTATGCAATATTAAATGTTTTATAAGTTATGAATAAATTCTTAGCAGCTTAGAAATATGTGCATGGATCTTAGGAAATTTGTGCAGATTCTAGTTTTTAGCTCTGCTAGACCTATTCATTAATGGATTTTATTGCTTAGCTAGTGAGATAATCAGTATTGCTACTAAATGTCATCTTTGAAGTCTTCATCGATTTTTACATAAGAAATTGAATTTTTGCTTGCTTATTCAGCTGATCTATGATCTATGCACGGTTACAGGCTAGAACTTCTGACGTATTTTATTTCGGTCAGGTGCGGGATTTATGAATTTCATCTAGACAGCGTTGTTACAAACTTATAAATTATTTTATTGCAACTGCTATAAACTATTCTTCTGGGAGAAATTTTTAAATATAAATTTTATATAGATTTTCATATTGTTTTTTTCTGGACAAGTCCGAGACTATTTAGATGATCCATTTGTTGACACATTCACCCACAAAAATTAATTTTTAATTTATTGGATTTCTTTTCCACTTCGATCATAAAATTTGGCACTTCGATACCAAAAATACACTCTGCCTATTTCATATTTATGCTGTTTATTCATGTTGAGTAAATTCTTTTGTTTCGCTTCCTAAATTTATTATGGCCTTTTAATTCCTTTATTGATTTATCGTTAAATTCAATTAGATTAATATTAATGAGCACTACTCGCATATCATTTCCAGTATAAAATTGATAATTTGAAATGTGATCGATAATTGTATGTGTCGCATATTTTGACGAATTAGAATAATGTTTAGACGAAAATGGTAAGAAATAAAAAGAGAAAAATGATCAAACATTTAATGAAAGAAAGGAAAATTGTACTGGTACCTCATTTGAACCTCCGAACCAAATGCTTCAGTTTTTCCAAAAGAACTGGTGAATGATCCATTTCTTACATTTATTGCTCAATTATAATTATGAGTATTTCGTCAGGCATTATTAAGCTATCGTTGTAATTTTATTGTCCTTATCCTTAAGCCTAGGCTAGGCTAAAAGTAATCTGATGAATTCGATATTTACTGATCAAACAGTTAGTATTTTTGTGATCAGTGTGATTGTGATTGATTACAATGATATTTGTGTCACATTTCAGCGAGTTAGCATAATGATGAAATTTTTGTATTGATTCGGCTGTCTTAATCTTTATAAAAGTAGAAGTAAAGCACTACCGATTTTTTGCCACAATTTATTCCTAAGTTTTTTTCGTTGTTTAGTCAATAAAATGTTTTAGTCCAAATGGTGTAAACTAATCGTGTTTAGAAATATTAATAATTGATTTTATTACCATATCACTTTGTAATACATCCGCTTAAATTCTTTTGTTAATGTTAGCATTGCAAAAAAGTGCCAAACAACACAAGTTCAAATCCTTATTTTCAACAGCTGCTATCTGTTAGTTTCAAATCAATAATGTTAAAGCTTATCCCTCCTACCGTTAAGCATCCTAGCATCGTTTGTCACTTCTAACACATACAATCTATCAATTAAATGACATTTACGTCAACAGGACCATTTTTTATTTGTTGGAAGAAACGTTTGCATGGAGAAGAAGGAAATATGGATAGATAGAAAAGTTTGCTTTTTAACTGATATTTTTTGCTTTTGTTTAAGACTTTAGCCAATAAGAGCAAGAGTTCTACACAACCACCAAGTTACTTTCAGTCGAAGCGCCTCACTGAGACAACAGCGCAGATGATTACTGCAGAGATAAATGAGCAGTTTGAAATTACTGCTTCAACCGAAGTTCACTGAACTGATGCTGAAGTGAGGTGTGTTGTGATAGAAGAAGCTAACCGCTATTTGACTGAACTGGAGATGATGATATTTCTGGTACAATTCAAGAGAAACGATCATTTCATAGTAAAGCAAAGGAGAGAGAGAGAGAGAAGAAGACGGCAAGAGAGAGTGCGGTTGCAACATAGACAGATGTTACTGACCCGAGCGGTGTAACATCGACAGCGGCGGTAGCACTTCTGAGGGGTGGTGTTGGTAGTAGTGGTCTTGTCAGCATTGAAAGTTGGCATATCGCTTCGTTCAGTTTAATCTCTCGCTGCTTCTGCTTTACTTGTGGTTCAGTTTGCAGAAGCCTTTCTGGTCATTACCTCATCCGGAATCGGGGACAACTACAAGGATGAGTAATATCGTACGACAGAGTAAATTCCGACATGTCTTCTGTAAACCTGTAAAACATGAACAATGCATGTCGGATGTACGCATCACCGAAATTACATGGGATTCACTGTTCTGCGCTTGTAACTCTAAATTTATTGCAATAATCTGCAAAGGAGCAGGTGGACCGTTTCTCGTCATACCTATCAATAAGGTCATCTAACCATCCTTCATTCATCTAAACTTCATTTCCATCCTCCCACTTTTCCTCTGTTGTAGAGAGATGAATGAAGAAGCTTGCACTTGTAGATGACAGATTGATCAATGGCTGTTATTATTGTGTGCCCTGAGCATCTAACAACGTTGAGTGATGACCGACCAGCATTGAGTGACCGAATGGATAAGCATTTATTTGCTGTCGATAAATGTAGATGCAGTATTTGACATTAATGGTAACTGGAAAGGATAGAGATTATAAGAGAGACAGCCGTATAATCGGATTAGTTCATACTACTACTACTACTACTTCCCGAGACTGGTCAATTCGCCTCTTTTTTAATCGTGTATTTCTCCCATAATGCCACTATTAAAAGCACTCTCATAGCTCTTTGATCAAACAGTGGTAATTACGTTTCTCGAAGTGATGACGAATAAATTTTATATGAGTTTTTTGACAACTTTTCTTAGCATTTTAAGTTACGTGTTTGAGTACATTGCACGATTTGATTACTGAATTCAGGATTGATTACTGAATTCAGGAAATATACACTGCACGATTTGATTACTGAATTCAGGATTGATTACTGAATTCAGGAAATATACACTGCACGATTTGATTACTGAATTCAGGAAATGGAACATCCTATGAGCATTAAGTTAAGAATACAGGGCTCTGTCATTGTTCTCACAATTATTATTACATATCTTCTTTTATCACACAAGCATTTATTAAACAGAATTACTTCAGTATGCATTTACCATCGCTTATTCTTCTTTACTAGATTTCAAAAGTGATGCTTTATTCCCTTCTTCCCTTTCTCTCTAATTACATAAGATCGTTCAGAAAATTTCTGCTCATTTATTGTCTTTCTGCAGTTGAATGTAATCAATCAAAGCGCAAGAAGGACTGCTTCAGAAGTATAGCCTTTCACGTACATTGTAGAGTGCATAATTAAGAAGAGAAACTAATTATTATTAAACGGATTGTAAAATAGTTTTGTGGATAGGGAATGGTCGCGGAATTGAATTTATTTCAAAGGATTCAGTTTAGTGTTTAGGTGAAGATTTTAAAGACTACAATTTAGGTTTATTTTGCGTACCACAGTATTTGTAATAATGCTTATAATTAGCACTTTGTTGGTTTTAAAAAAGTGAACTTTCAAGAGTTGTCTTGGGTTTATAGGCTTTGGTTACAGAAATGATGCTGATGATTGACATTTATGTGGACATAGTGCTTCAGCTACTTTAAATGATATTGGTGGAGCGTTGCAAGTTTGCTTTTTATGAGATATTTTATTTTCAAAATACTGATGTTATTAATGTAAAAATTTTTTATTACAGGTTGGACGTATCGAAAAGGACTATCCTTTCGTGGATGCTCATCGTGCTCCGTGTCATGAAGTAGCTTGGAGTCCTTTTAATGATAATGTTATTGCAAGCTGTTCGGAAGATACAACTTGCAAGGTATCGAAGTATTGCAATTATTTTTAGTAGATATATGTCCACATTTTTAGATATATGTACATTGTATACATGCATGATTTGTTATTGTTTATACAGATAGGTACAATTATGTACTGATTAATATAATTAAGGTGTGGTTAATTCCACAGAATGGCCTAATTCGTACGATTAGTGAACCGGTGGTTGAACTGTGTGGTCATCAGAAGCGCGTGAATACTTTAGCATGGCATCCAACAGCCAGCAATATTTTGCTTACTGCTGGTATTTTTTCCATAAATAACTAACTAGAATTGTTGCAGACTGTATAATATTGGAATAGGACTTCGTTTGGTTAAGTTCTTCAATTAATTTTTTGCTTGATTTTGTAGCTACTGGATAACGATCAGTGGAAGATGATAGCTTTGTTTGAAAGGTTAACATGCTAGGTGAGGAAAAGAGGTTATTATAACTTTCTACTGGAAAGTTTCTATTTTCTTTGCTATAAGGATCATCCTGTTGTACTAATTATTCTTGAGTGCATTGATTATATTTCCAGGTGGTGAAAATAAATTATTAATGTGGAATGTGGGTACGGGGGATGCTTTACTAGAAATCAGTGGCCATCCGGATATGATATGGTCTGTATCTTTCAATTATGATGGTTAGTTTTTCGTACTACTTTTCCGTCAGTTTTGTCAGTTTCCCCTCTTACCAACTTACTAATTTGAAAATTAATTGAAAAATTCTGTACTATTATTTTTGAAATGCTGGTCTTTACTTTCCTTGTCATTGTGTGATAGTGAAATCACCACCAAAAAAAAAAAAATCAACATATTTTGCTGTTTGTTCCCTTTGTGTGTATTAACTGATATATGGATACTTGTTATTTTTAGGAAGTCGGTTTGTAACAACATCTAAAGATAAGAAAATACGGGTAATCGACTCTCATACGGGTGAAGTTCTTCATCAGGGTAATGGACATGAAGGAGTGAAACCACAGCGTGCAATCTTTCTCAAGGACGGTAGAATCTTTACTACTGGTTTCACAAAACGTTCTGAAAGACTTTACGCACTTCGAACACAGGTTTATTTTATTCCTGCTGCAGTGAGTTAGGAATAAAACGATAGCGTGCAGTAATTATTCCTTCCCAAGTCAATACGAGTCCTTTTTTCCACTTTTGCTGGAATTCCGGTTTTGTTAAACTTTATTCACATTTTGAAGGCTTAGTTTAGATCCTTTCTAAGTTGTACGTATCAATCAAAAACATTCAGGAGAATTTGGATGAACCACTGATACAAGAAGAACTTGATACAAGTAATGGTGTTCTGTTCCCACTATATGATGAAGATAGTGGCCTCGTTTATTTAGCAGGCAAAGTAAGTCTTGTGATAATATTATGTAACAGTTAAATGTTAGACGTCATTGATGAAACATATATGTCTTGACACATAAGCGTAAGGCTTATCTCAGTATATGCAAAGCTTATAGTATTTATGCAGTTAGTGACCATTAAAAGGATTGAAGCTATAATGATCCAAATTTAGGTAGACTTTTATTCTTGTTTTCATACTGAATGTTTGATTACATCAGCTTGCGTTATTATTGCTCAACTGTTCAGGGCGACTGTGCTATACGATATTATGAAGTGAACAATGAATATCCGTTTGTACATTATATCAATACATATACTACATCGGAACCTCAGCGTGGTATTGCATTCATGCCGAAATTGGGTCTCAATTCTAATGAAAATGAAATTGCGCGCATATACAAAGTAACGACAAAAGGTGTTGTCGATGAATTGCAATTTTTTGTTCCGAGAAAATCCGACTTATATCAGGTTTTCTTATTTGAAATTCATCATATTCAAATTGTAGATAGTGTAATATCTTTGTATTATCTTTTATTTCTGTGAGTGGTCTTCAGAAGTTTTGATTTAGATCTTTTCTCTTTTTTGTTTTTCGAAAGATTGAAGTGTATTTTTCTAATTAACTTAAACCTTCGATACAATTATTGTTAAGAAGATACGCATTATGCCTTATTTCATTTTGTTGGTATATTTCTTAGAGCTTTAGGATAAGATTTGTTTTACTCGAATGAAGACTAAGACCCGCAAATAGATAAGCTGTCAATAACGTGAAAAATTAAACTAACCAAAATACAAACTAATTCGAATTTCTCTTAATTTCAGGCAGATTTGTATCCAGATACTCGGAGTCGTGTACCAGCACTGACCGCAGAACAGTTTATCGAAGGTCAAAATGCTCCTCCGAACTTGGTGCCAGTAAATCCAGATGCTGCTGTTGTTAAACCTAAGGTACAAGTGGCCAAAAGAACCAATATCCTTGCTCAACTTCCTCCCAGGTTTTAATTTCCGTATGATTTCTTTGAAGACTGTTGTTTTGGCCCATACTTCTGCATAAAAACTACGCAGAACATTCAAATTCATAGTAGTAAAAAGTGCAGTGACAAGAATATCTAGCCAGGAATTGGTCACATCGCGCTCACAGACTGAGCAGCAGAGGATGTCATCATACGAGGATATATATCGTGATGAACCAGCTCCAACACCCCGTCAATCCAGACCAAAAAGCATGCTTGCTGGACCACTTGACGAAGATACTGGCATTATTAGGATAGAACATAGTGTCGTTCCGGAACGTGAACAGCGTCCACAAAATATGCGCAACCTAGAACGCCCAAGTGCAGCGATATCGCGACAACAGGTGTTGTCTTAATAATTTCCATGGACCTGATTGAAAATTGATCAAGATATAGGAAGTTATTTTATTAATAAGGAAATTAAAGGGAATCATCATGTCCAATTCTCGCATTTCTCTTAGTATTCAGGTACATTTGCGACCACATATTGAAAAAGATAGTGCCCAGACAACGCCTGGTCAGAGAAGAATAACAGCTGATTTAGAACGTATCAAACGAGCCAAAGATCGGGAACCGGATCGAGAAGAACTTGCTCCTCCACAACAAATGCACAGTAATTCTGTTTCACCAAGACAGAGCGTGAGTGGCCCTTCCGAGGTAAGTACAAGTTTCCATATTCAACCGTTATCCAGTTTTCTAAAGCAACTCAACATACCTCCGTCTCATTGAATTTCGGTTTGGATTGGTCAATGCGCTATTTTTTCCGGTTTCCAGCAGTACATTCCATTTTCCTTCGGTGCTGTTGTATCGTCATCTGCATTATGAAAATTCCCAACTAACTATTCGATAGTTGGCAAAGTTTAATGAAAAGTTGAAATGCTCTTAAAATGTGGTTCAATGATTTTTACGAATTCATTTTTCACTGTTCCTTTTCTAAATTATTTTTATTATGGATAGTATTACCATTTCTGTACACCTCATTCTATTTTTACAAATGAACTATAAATTTTTCTTCAGAAATTTAAGTCTAGCAAACCACTCAGGAGATTTAAATTTCAGTCAGGTTCAATGGAAGACGTATTGTCAGACTTGAACAAGATCAAATCTATCCTACGACAGCACGAGAGAAGAATTCGCCTATTGGAGGACGAAATAGCCGATAAAAATATGGCTGATACATATAGCTTTTAAGAAGATTAAAGATCTTTGTGGTGCTTATTCGGGAAATGCGAGACTGTGACGGGAATTGTCCTTATTATTCTTACCCATTAATAGACAAAAAAGGCTCCAGCAAAGGGAGACACTCACCTAAAGATGAATATGGCAGGGAAGCAAGTGGACAGTGGATGACAACTGGGCTTAGTAAATTGTTCAGGATTTTTGCTTTAGTGCTATTTTAGTGCCTTTTCTTTAAAGAATTGTACTTGTAAACCCATTTAAGGTTAATTTTATGGACTTTCAAACCTAATGATCAAAATAAAGAATTTGTAGTAGTATGCGAAATACGAGAATACTCTAAGTCCAGTTTTAATGTTAAGAAAAATATGACTGGAGTGATAGGATGCTAGTGTATGCGTACGTATTAATGCATATTAATGCATATCCATGTTTCTGATACTAACTGAGGACTAACGTTTGACATTCTAAATGTATGTAATCTTTTAAAATGCGTATGACTCCTCAAATTTTATATGTTTTTACTTCCTAAGGCTACACAAAAAAACTCCATATAGCCATCTGAATTACTATTATTTCAGACTAAAAGCGGTATAACACAACTTTATTCAACAAATATCGCACATTTAAATTTTATAGGTAACAATTCTTGAGAATAAACAGGGAAGATTTTGCATAGGACTCAACAACTGCTCGACATTCAAGGAAGTAAACAAAGGCTATGAACTTCATGAAGAGGTACTTTCATCTTAAACAAAACAAAACAGTAGTGCCGAAACAGTTTACCTGAGTACATCAGATTGGTCAACGCACTTGATACCTCTACCGCTTCACAAACAATCCATACATAACCTTCTGGTTCACGAATAATCCAAAATTTATCAAAAAAAGTTGAAGCAATTTTGGTGAGATGGTGGTAACTATATTGCCATTTGCATTTGGGAACAACAATGTTTCAGTGACTTGAGTGACGTTTTTTAAACAAATGATACAAAAGAACCTTCTCTAGCTGTGATGATCTTCCTACTGAGGAGACGAGAAATGAGAGATCGAACTTCGGTTTTTTATATCCCTCATTTCATCTAAAACGCGAAAGGACTAAAACGTCTATGTGTGACACTTCGTCTTTATTATAATCATTGAATGCTTTTAATTAACTTGTTGCAAATCTGAAGCACGAACTTGCTAAGACGGAGAAAAATCAACAATGAATTAATGAATTCTTAGTTTAGTCGCTTTCTTCACTTGATGAATTTGACGATTCTACCTTTTTCCTTTCTTTCTTTTTTGGTGGCTGCAAAAATTTTAAGTTAACATTAATTTGTTCAGCTGGTACCACTTAAAGTAGTGATTTTTCACCGCTCTGAAAAAAAAAAAAAAATGACAAATGGAGGGATGAAATGAATGTCAACACCTCACATCCAAACTACGTAATTTTTGACCAAATATTACTCGCTGAAAAGTATCAAAGATCTGCTGTGGTCAAATTATCATTTGACGTCTGTTCAAATTAACAACTCTTCTCTCCTTGAAAGAAATGAAGAATACAAACCTCGTTTTCATAAACCTTTTTCTTATCTTCCAGTGATATCTGCTTGCAACTGCTAGCGGGATTGGCGACACTAAGATCGTAATAAGCGGAACGCCAACCAGCCGGAGTTTTCTCGTTTGGTTTGCCATATTTGTCAAGCAATCCTTGACTTATCTAAAAATCGTTTAAGAATATTTCAAAATAAAATTCTTCTTTATTTATAATGACTGTTTCGTCCAATCTTTAGATTGAAAAATCCATTGAAACAGTAATGCTGCAGTTGATGAACTGGAGGTGAAAGAAAAGTAAGTGACCATAGCCTTTTTCTTCGACGCAACGGGACCAAGACACCATTTTCGGGCGTAAGTATCTCTTTCCATAATCACTCTTTTGATTTTTGCAACGACTCCATGATCCGTTACCGCCATAGTTGATGTGGTCATTAGTGCCAATGCTAAACCCAAGAAATAAGATTTTGGTATGAAATAAAAAATGCAATACTTAAAATATCTATTACGTAAGCTTAAAATATCTATTACGTAAAACTACTGTGTTATAAGTAAAAAATCAGGAGGAAACAACCTAAACAAATGGCTTCTCCTTTTGTTGTAACAATAACAATTTCTTCATTCAGTTCGATTCCATTTTCAAACCGAAGAATACCCGGTAGAAGTATTTTGGCGCCATAGCAAATTGCATTCACCTAACAAAGTGATACTAATAAATAATTAAAATGTATATACTGACTTTGATTTGATAGTTGAACAGTACAACAACACAGTGAGATGTGTTAGCATGTGGAGAGGATGAGGGATAAAAAAAGATAATGAACGAAAAGGTTTTATAATTTGCATACTTATTTACTTTTTTGATAGACCAAAGTGGACTCATATGTACGAAACAAATACATGGCATTGGAAATTTATCAAAAAATAAAGACTTCGTTTTATTTTTGATACCATAAAATAAGTGAACAAAGAACTTACAGCACTGTCTTTAACAACGATTCGTTTATGGCCCACAAGGAGAGATTCAAGTGGTCGGATCACTCTTCGTAAATAACTATCGTCATTGTGATGGTCATAAAGATATTGCGCGTCCAGAATATCATGCATCGTCATCAGATTATCTTTTTCACCAAAAATACCTTAAAACGTAAAAATAATGTAGTAGTACAAGTCCCTGAACAGCGTTTAATTTCGTAAAATTTGAGGAACACACCCGAACGAACTCTCCTTAGCTCTTGCATCTGACCTCCAACACCCAAAAGTAAACCAAGGTGCACACAGATTGTCCGCACATAGGTCCCCGCTTCGCATTTCACCTTAAAATCAAGTCAGGGATAATTAGTAGAGATTAGATTATAACTAAAATGTACTAAGCGGATAATTAATAGTGATTAGAAAATATGATTACATTTTTAAAAATAATTATAGAGAAATGACTTGGGATTCAGTAAGACAAACCCAAAATATGCCCATATTCTGACTCGAATTATACTCAATCAATTTGTTTTCGTAAATTGTCCTAATCCTTAATTGCCGTTTAACAGCGGATATGAGTGGTGGGCGTTGAAATAATGCGCCGGTCAACTTCTCCAACGCTTGCTTCACTTTTTTTTCTGATTCAACAGTATTGTGCAACCGAAATATCGCCACATATTCCTTTCCAGCACCCTGCTGTGATTTTGCAAGTCTGGTAGCTCGATCGATGCAAACAATCAAACAGCCCGACACCTACAAACAATAGATTTCGGCAAAAAGTACAAAGTTTTGAAACTTTCCATCAATTTAGTCGATTCAAGGAAACTGGTTTCCTTTTCATTCATTTGGTTGCTGTGTAATAAGGATGCAACTCTAAATTTTAGAGAAAATATAAACTGCATCACAAATCTTAAGGTATATCTTTTAAAGTAACTAAAAGAAACAGCTTGACTGTTTCGTAAAATGTGTACTTATAATGCTTTATTGGGGAATGAGTTTAGACGAAAAGTCTAAGGAAAAGTGCTATTATACCTTCGGATCCAAAGTGCCACTATGTCCAGTTTTGTCAACTCGCAATATTCGCTTGACCCACGCAACTACTTCATGACTTGACGGATTAGCTGGCTTGTCAAGATTTATGCAACCAGAAGAGACGTAATTCTTAATATCTCTTTTAAGAGGAGAGCAGCCTTCCGGAAGTGGAGTATAATGATTAGATCGTACATTCAGTTTATCGAAATTCTGAAAACTCCTAAATAGAGGCTTTAATGCCACAAGCAAAATTTTCTGAAAGAAAATTTTACAAGTAGTTTTAAAATCTATCAGTTCCACTTGCAAGAAATGATTTACTATAACATGCTTCATCTTATAATTCAACAGGTTCTCAAGCATGATTTTGAAGCATTGTTCTTTCTTTCAGTGCCGGAAGCTACATTTACAAGTGATTGTTTACCTTCAACAGGAGTGGCCACTGTGAAGTATCTAACACAGCTGTCTTTTCGGAAGGTTTGATTGAGTAGTCACCTGCAGCTTGAATTTCCTAAAACAGGTAACTGGAACAAAAGTTGTTCAAGTACTCCCAATAGCCATGTGGAAAATTAATGCGCGAAACTTACACCCACGTCGAATTCGCTATCTTTCATCGACTTCTGTTTCTTTCCCATTTCCTTTCTGCAAAAATACAACTTTGGTTTTCAATTACTGCAATATAAATCATAAAGTGGACCTAACACGTTCTGCACATATGAAGGACATCTGAAACAAGAGTGAACCAATCATACATATGTTGCTTTCTAATATGTTTTCCCTTTAATGTCCGTTGTTTTTACATCACTGCAGGCAAATAATTTTATTAACTTTAATCATAAAATTCTCATCTCCATACAATACCTTATATCTCTTTCACCATAAGTATTCTTCGATCTTGCACATCTTGAATAGAAAAACCTCGAATAAGTTATCACCAATTTTACGTGTATTATTTCATACGAAGAATTCTGCATAAATGTTTACACCATCTTGTTGTAATGGAGAATAAAAGTGAAAAGTGTGAAGTGGCATCTTAATCATAAATCGTCACTTAACTTATACCTACAAAATAAGAGAAGAAAACTTTTAGACTTAAAGTCCCCAAAACTCTTCGGGTCATAAAAAAGGGGTAAATATAATTGGGCGAACAATCTGCGCGAAGTTTGTCAATAGGTCAGGTTATGTTACAAATAGCCAAAGCCATCGGCTTTGGGGCTGTATTTGGGAGGGGGGGGGGGAGGGGGAGAGGGGTTTTGTAGTATGCTTTGAGGTTTTTGGTGGAGAGGTTAGGGGTTTGGGATGATGATGAAAGGAATGTTAGTATTTGTTTGATGGTTGACGATTTAGGTAGCGTAAGATAGCTTCATGCTTCTGATAAGAATGTATAATTTGTCCTCTCCAGATATTTTGGTTATTGAATTTTGGTTATAGTAACCTAATATTTTATAAAATTATAATACTACCTATCGTATTTTAAAAGCAGTCAGCAGTCTTGTTGGATTGGTGAGCATGCTACATTTATTGCCTCACTTCTGATTGTATTCATCTTAACATTGCAGTGGTAGCAGCATAAGTAATGGCAACTGGTGATGATATCCCGACGTTTAAGCTTGTGCTTGTTGGTGATGGCGGTACAGGCAAGACGACATTTGTCAAGAGGCATCTTACAGGAGAGTTTGAGAAGAAATACGTTGGTATGTATTCATCTTTTGTATACATGATGTAATTTTGTTCAATTTAAGCTAACTTATAGCTTATATATTTCGTTTCTATGATATTTCTTGTAGCAACTTTGGGTGTGGAAGTTCATCCACTGATATTTCACACAAACAGAGGTCAGATTCGATTTAATGTTTGGGATACAGCTGGACAAGAGAAATTTGGCGGATTGCGAGATGGTTATTACATACAAGGTAGTTAATCGTGCTGTTCTAATGGATCCACAGAACTTCATAAATCATTTTACTGTTTGACAGACGAAGGCGAATTCTGTTTTGAGTAATTAGATTATTATGTGTTACTCAGAATGGAATCTATGTAGACATAATTGAAATAAAATGTAGCTATGACTAATGGTTGGCTAGTTTTTTCGTTTTTCCTACAATTTGATAATTGAAAATGACACATTAAAAGGGAGAAAGATTGTGCGAAGAATTTATCAGTTGCCAGTTTGCCGTAAGTTAAAGACTGATTAATATTTCTGCAAACTTTACTATTGTCCTTAGCTTTTGAGATCTTTCGGACTGCTGAAGGTTATGTTATGTAAGACAGTTTTGAAATGTTTCATACCCTATTTTAGATCGCGACAAGTAAACGAAATACTTTAGGTCAGTGCGCTATAATTATGTTCGATGTAACAGCACGTGTTACTTACAAAAACGTTCCAAACTGGCATCGTGATTTAGTGCGCGTGTGTGAAAATATCCCGATAGTTTTATGTGGGAATAAGGTAGATGTGAAAGACAGAAAAGTCAAAGCTAAGACGATCACATTCCACCGAAAGAAGAATCTGCAGGTAGTTTTGTTTTTATTTCATGGGCGAAGAGAGACCAAAAAAGAATATCCAGTTACCAAAAAAGATGGCTTCATTTGTTTTCAGTACTACGATATCTCAGCGAAGAGCAATTATAATTTCGAAAAACCTTTTCTATGGCTGGCCCGAAAATTGTTAGGCGATCCAAATCTAGAATTTGTTGCAATGCCTGCACTTGCTCCTCCTGAAGTGCAGATGGATCCAACAATGGTTGCACAGTATGAACAAGAAATTGCTGCTGCTGCGAACGCTGAACTTCCAGACGATGATGAGGATCTTTAATCGATTGACTGTTTGGAAAGGTTTTGGCACAAAAACCAAGAGTTTTTTGGGAAGCATTATTATCATATTACTGTTGTTGCCGTGCTTTTTATGCCATTTATTGATTGATTGTTTTGTGTTTGTTTATCCTGATTTTCGTTCCAAAATTTACATAAATTTGGTATGTAAGCAACAAAATTTTGTCATTTATACATTGAACATCTACGGTGATCGCTATATCAAATTCACGATTCCTGAGCTATAAATAAACGATTATTAACACCAGTAACGAACATGTCGAAAGGGTTTTCAAATTCATCTGATATTCTACTGTCGTTGATGATTTATAGAACACTCTGTCCATCATTTTTATTATTTAGCATGCAATGTATCAGAGAATATAGTCATTTCCGGAACTGATTTTTTCTAAATGTCGGTACAGAAGGATCAGGGGATGGCCGGTAAAAATAATGTTTAGTATGGATGCAGCTTTGTGGCAACCCAAGATGCTGGTCGGGGATTCCCTTACCGCGGAGTCTGTCCCTAGATGAGTGGATCGCTATTTGGGTAATGTGTTGTGGGGAAGAATGCAAATACTTTGTTGACAACATCTTGAAATTTGGATTTGTTCTTATGAGTGACGAATTTGTTCGACTTGAGAACATTGCACAAGCTATCTGTTCCGGACTTCATATTAAGTAGTGACAATAATAAGTGAAACACTTAACTATTGTTAGAAGTATAGTTGTGAACATATTTAATAGTCATCTGATTTAATAATTTACTGTTAATGAATCGTGCTGCCAAAGCCAAGATTATTTGATTTCGAAGCTTATAACAAGTCCTTTGGCCAAATAATGAAGTTAAGCGAAGTTCAAACTCAAAAACTCCCAGTTAATTTTGGCAGTTAATGCCAAAATGGTATGTATCAAATTATTACTATTTCCGTGTTATAAAAGAAGGAAAATGCAACCAAGTAAATGGATGGAAGTTTTATGGAGGAAGTTTACGTAAAAAAACAAAATTTGACGTTGTTTCAGCTTGATATATTTTCTACAATTTATAGCACTACAGTATCTTACACTAAACGGATATAGGTTAATATCGACAAGCATCCAAAAACCAGAAGTAAAATATTAGTTGCTCTTTTTTCCTTTAGTTCTCGCCTCCTTCGTTCTCTCTCCATCACTACAAAGACTGGTGTTTTATATTTGGATTTCCGTTTTTCTTCTTCAATTTCCTTCAAAATCTGCCATTCTCTTATTTCACGCTGTCGCTGCATTGGATCCTGAATTAATCTCGTTTTAAATCCTGCATTCATATAGCAATGATTTTAATGTGGCTTGCCTGCCGAGTATTGCAAATCATCTCTTTTTTTCACAATGTCTTGAAAATGTGTTATAGGTACATCTTACATACTGAAATGTGAGATGTACCTCGAACTATTTTTAAAAAAAATCTCATAATAGTGAAAAATTTTTAACTTCTTGATGACCTTATAACTATAGGAGAAATAATTTGGTGTTCGCGGACGAAAAGTATTAGTGAATTCACGAGGATTGCCGAAATGAGCAAAAAATTCATCAGGCATTTGCCAGTGATCGTGTCTAGTCCGTTGTTTCCTGAAAAATTAACTAAAAATGGAATTTTCAGTTGTGAGAGTAGATTGAGACCTAGTATTTACGTTACTGACCTAGTATTCACACTACGTTGAAAGTCCTCGAAGGTTTTGTAATCTAATCCCAAATCCTCAAAGTTTTTTTTCACTCTCATCTGCGTGGGCCAACTCCCGGTCGGTGTCTGTAGCCAGCTTTCTTGACATTTCTTATCATAAGCCTTTCGTTTTTTATCGGATGATAGAACTTCGTATGCTTCCGCTACCTGAAGTATAATAATTAAATGTTCTCGGTAAATAACAGTGATGTCTAGTCAATAAAAAACAGTGCAAGTTCTCGAAGCATTACTGCCACAGCCAGAGAAAAAACTTTCTCATGGTGATCTTAACAAATTATAGAAATAACTGAAAAGCATATAATGTAGCTTGTACCTGTAGAAATTTTTCAGCAGCCAAATTCTTCTGTTGTTCACCATCATGCCTGTCTGGATGATAAATCTTTGACAGTTCATAATAAGCTGCCTTGATTTCTTTTGTCGTAGCAGATGACTCAACACCAAGTGTTTGGTATAAATCGCGTTGTTCAGTGCAAGGTTGGCTAGCAGCAGTGTTATACAATCGTGTAGTACTCACGGGTATCCATAAATATTGGAATAAATCGGTATGCAGTTTCTCGTGTCGGAAAATCATTGCGGTCATTTCCGAATCTACAAAAAAAAAAAGTAAGTTGGACAAGATGCTGATTTTCAGCTCATGAAATCATCTTGCCAATGGGCTTGCTAATCCATGCATAGGTCGAACGAAACTCACCAACGATATCAAGTTTTTGAAGTCAGATAGATGCGGTGAAATTAACAACCACTACATCTTCTGCGTTATGAACATTTCCAATTGTATAATAGCAAATTTTTTTTTATTTAGGGATTCCACGCTTTAATGAAGCCTGCACTTGTATAGTCCGCATTAACGAAATGGAGATTGTGACAATGAGTGGACAAACAAGTTTGAAACTAGCGTGAACTACCTTAACATTACGGAAAATCAAAAAGCTCCCATGACAAAGTTAAAAAAATAAACAAAGTCTTAATAAGCGCGATAGTCTCCGTATGCTTACTGGTCGTTTTACTGACTTCATCTGAAATTTACAAATAGTTTTTTGTGTAATGACGTAATCTTCAGGCTCAACATTGCATTTGTACTTCGAATAATATTACCCATATTAAACTTTACACTGAATTTCGCTTTCATATTCACACATGTGCTTTCACAATAACAAAAGGCAGCCTATGTGCCGAATTTACATCGGACTTTACTGGTGTTGGTTAAACTCAGGATATATATATATATATATAATAATTATGGAAGTCTGGTAACATAACTGACTGGTGTGAAATACAACTGTTATGAATGATTCTGCAAAAACAACTTCATACATATTTATTCAATGAAAGTAACAAGACTAGAAATGAATCAGTGACACAAATCAAATGAATAAAATGACCTGAATCAAGCAAATTGCTATAAAATTAGGATAGTCAAAATGAGATCACTTCATGTAAACATCGACACAATCACCATCCTCGATCCCCAATGTGTCCGCAGTTTCTTGCGGACTAATACGTTTGCCGTCAAAGATTAATGTAAGTTTTTCTTCATCCAAACCATTATCGACAGCGAAATCTCGCTTCACAATCATGAACGGAGTATCCTAAAAAAGAAAAGAATTATAATCATATAACAACAATATATCGAATATATCAACACAATTCCTTAATAAGTAAAAGTCTAATGAAACCCTATATTTTCAAACATTAGTTCGGTTATTTCTTTTTCGAATAAATACCCTTGGAACAGCAGTAATTACAGGCTTGTTTTGTTCAGGCAGCAACCATTTGACATTTATACTTCCACTTTGATTGTTCTTGTAAACTGATAAATAATTGACATCTTTTTCACTGAATGCAACACTGCTGGGAGTGTCTTCTGCAAAAACCCTCTTTCCATTCCTTAGTGATAAAACTACATTTTCCGGTGAACAAGACCAATTTGATGCATACAATTTGACGATGTCCGTAAATGTCTCGCTCTGAAAATTATTTATAAATTACGCTTTTTACGAAGACCCTACTAATCTCAAGTTACAATACTTATTGAATTATGCAGATTAAACCTCTCAGCAGCACACTTTATCCTTTTTTCTCCTGAAATAAAAATAGAAATGTATTTTCTATCGTTTGAACAATAGTGGATACTAAAGTTGGATACTGCTAACAAAAAGTAATTTTACACATCTTATGTTATCGAATTAAGAACATAAGAGCTGGCACTGAGAATAAATCCAATTGAATCCAGCTAGAATTTCGTATGCAACAAATGTTTACCATTTTCCAACGTTTTATATAAGTATCACAGCTCTCAAGGTCACCGATTTCAATGGAGCAATGTGGCTCTACGACAAAGACTTTTTCTTTTGCAAACATATTATCGTCCGCTTCAAGAGTACCACCATCAATAATAAACGGACTACCAAGAGAATTAGAATTACTGTCATCCATAACTTTCTTCTGCCTATAAAAATTTGAAGAACAATAAAAAAAGAACAAGATTTTAAAGATGTGACTTTCCAGCAAATATCCGCCAGAGAAGGAACAAAACTGTGCGGCCATTACTATATGTACTTCATGAAATAACTCTGTTGCAAGCGTGACAATACTTCATAAAATACTTTATAAAAAAGGAATATTCTTCTGATCTGCAAACTATTCATTAGGTTTTCCTTGCTAAATAGACGCACTCCACTTATTTGTGTAATTCGCAACCTTTTGATATCATTCTTCATTGAACTGCCCATTAAAGGACTTAAACCAGATGAGTGAAAAGCAGAAATATTGGAAAAATTTTCCAGCTGTTTGATTTCTTGTTCAACTTTCAATAGAGCGCAATCTTCCCTTACTTTTCTTTTTCCCTTTAACGTTAGTAAATCATCGTCGTCATCGATTAGATCATCTACAACAAATGCACTTAGAAACAATTCAAATCTCGAGAGATATTTACATACTATTACTCGTGTCACACCCAGAAATTAAAACTTTCTTATCAGTTATATGAGACTGAGAAAAATATACCGAATAGAATTTCAACATAAGCTTGTTTTGTCAATTGGATAACTGTAACCAGCAATCTTTTTATTGAACATAACTAACCCAATGTATTCTCCTTTTTCTTGCTTGTATCTTTTTTGATCGAATCTGGAATTATGAGTTCAAAAAAAAAAAAAAAAAAATTAATAAATAAACCGATCACAGCATATTAAATGGGATCCAGTAGTTCTTCTCTGTTCAAATAATGTTCAAATACCAGATTGTTAAGGGAAGATTTTTTATGTATTTCCTATTTCATCTACCAGTTTTCCCTGCACTATCAAACATGGTTCGTTTTTTCGTTACAAAACGTGTTTTAATCCGTAATGAAAATTACTTGTTAAAGTATGACATCATTTGTGATACTTTACGCGACATATGAAAGTTTGAATTACAGTCTCTTGTTGAAGTAACAAAATTAGTTATTCAACTCAAGTGGATGAATAACAGCTAATTTATCAGGAATATCCTCATTCACCAATTTAAATTTAAGCACGAAGATTTGTAAAAGTATAAGTAATTAGTAGCTATTCTTATCCAAATACCAATTTAAATTTAAGCATAAAAATGTTTTAAAAAAAATATAATTAGTACAAATACCTTCCTTTCTAACGTCATTTATGGCAGTTCCGGTTACACCTCCACCCTTCTTGGCAGCTATCACTTTAGACATGAGATGCTTTAACGGATTACCAAAGAAGTCGTCCTCATCATCACCAGTGGTTTCCTCCTCCTTCTGAGTCATCATCAGGACACACACTGAAATGGCCAATCACTTATAGTCTTATTTCCGCCATCATCCACCCATCCATCCATCCAACCCTCATCTTCAGGTGTACGAATCCTTTGGATACGTGATGGGATGTCTCGTAGTTTTGTGGGATTGGAAAGCATGGAGGCCTCAGGGAATGGCCGTAATAAAAAAAGTAGGAAGAGGAGGAAGGCGTTTGCAGATCTGTGAAGAGTTGACTTGCCTTGTCCAAGAGATGAAGGAGTTGGCTTAATGTCATACCCGAGAGTACATACTGCTGAGAATCGAATGACATTGTGAAGAAATCGCTTGGAAGTGTAAATGTCGAACATTGATAGTATTGCGATTTGACCTCTTCTTCAGCCACTTTTTTATACTTGAATTAGGAGAAAGAAATTGCTGTGTTTTACAGTTTAATGATATTAGAGATTCTGCAAATTTTCTTAGGGCATGATAGTTTCTGCTGGAATTGGGTTCATTCACATAAATCCTTGCAAGTTTGGAATAAATTTCAGGAAAGAAATAACGCTGATGCCGGATCTGAATTTCACTGATAGAGTAGTTATTGTCACTGGAGCTGGTGGTAGTTTGGGGAAGGCTTACGCACTTGAATTCGCCAAAAGGGGAGCGTCTGTTGTTGGTAATTTCAATTGTTTTAAACCGTTTTTATATATCGAGTTTTTATTAAGTTGCTTAAATCGCTAGATTTAAAGTATTCTACTGTCTTAACATGAAGTACTAATTCGAACCTGAATATAATTTGAAGCAGTCCTATCTGTCTGGATAATGACATTAGTTTAGAATAAGATCATTCTATCATAAGAAATATTTCGAAAAATCCCGGTTTACGATACTATTTTGTTTTTACTCACGGTACTTTGCTTTTGCTTCACATGTCCAAAAATTTTCAAAAGAATGGTTTTCTTCCATTCCAGTGAATGATCTCGGAACCACTCAAGATGGATCATTTGCGAGATCTCTATCTGCGAATACGGTCAGCTATTCTTTCTGGATAAACTTATAGTGTTTCGTTATTGGTTAAAAAGTTAAGAAAATATTACTATCCAAGTTCCTAATTATTCTTGGATTTGTTTTCACCATAAATATTCTATTCGTTTCCGCAGTAATTATTAGTATACCTAGTTTTACCTGTTTTTTTAAGTTGCTCACTTTAATTAATGTGTAAATTTCATGTACTTTTGCAGACTGTAGCAGAAATAAAATTTCACGGGGGCAAAGCGGTTCCAAATTTTGACAGTGTTGTGTATGGGCATAAAATCATCGAGGCAGCAATTGAACATTTCGGTCGAATAGGTAGGCAGTCGCCTTTATCATTTCTCCCAACAACAACCGGTTTACTCCTAAATGATGCTGAGCTATCAACAATTTTTGGATGCGATTTATCAGTGTATTGTTGGATTATGTTTCAGAGTGATAAATAATGGTCATTTAGAAATAGAAAAAAAAAATGTTAAAGTGGTTGAAATCTATCAGCAAGTTGAATTCGTTAGCTTCATTTTTATAATTGAAGATATTGAAACTTGGACTACTTGGTGTTTTGCATTTTTAAAAAAAGGTTAAACATTAATTGGTAACTGTAATCAGTTATAGATCAGAATTCATCTTAGGATTGAAATTGTTAGCTTCATTTTCATGAGCCTTCAATTTTCAGATGTTGTTGTTAATAATGCTGGAATTGTACTCGACAAGTCCTTTCAGAACATGAGCGATAATGACTGGGGTTGTCCTGTTTTTGATATTTAACTATTAATTAAAATGTTACTTGATGAGAAATGAAATTATTTGATTTGTTAACTTGTGTCTTATTTCAATGGATATTTTTACACTTTTCAATTGGTATAGTAATGGGTAGAGCTTTAAGTGATGAAGCATTTGCTAAAATTAGGGATGTTTGTTAGTTCAAATTGTGATATGTAGTTAATGTATTGTCCTATAACGAACTTAATAGAATTTCTTATAATTTTGCTGAATAATTTCTACTTTTGGTTTTTATTTCTCATTTTTATTATTTTTTTGTTTTACATAATTATCGATTATTTTTCGCAGACTTAGTCTACAGAACGCATGTTAAAGGCGCTTATTCAGTAACCAAAGCGGCTTGGTTTTTTTTCAAAAAACAGGGGTATGGACGAATTATTTTCATATCTTCAAATTCTGCAATATACGGCAATTTTGGACAGGCAAATTATGCAGCAGGTATTTTTATTCTAGTTGTCGGTAATTTCTGATCGTGATAAAAACTGCGAGGATTAATTCTGCCTCTTTGTTCTTTCCTCGATTTCTTGGACTTGGATATTTCTTTATTCAAAAAAAAAAATGGTTAATACAACAACAAATCAGCAACTAGAATTTCTGTAAAGCGGTAATGTAAAACGATAAACGTATGTGACATAAAAATATTTAAATTTAAACAAACTATAATATTATAGAAAATCAGTAGTGTTTGACAATTGTTAATAAAACTTTATTTATCTGTAATAATCCGTTACTTTGTCTATGATAGTGACTGTTAATAAAACTTTATTTATCTGTAATAATCCGTTACTTTGTCTATGATTTGTCTATGATACAGGTTGAGTTTTAGCTAAGAACGCATTAATTGGTCTTTCGCACACACTAGCAATTGAAGGAAATAGATACGGCATTCATTCGAACGTGGTGATACCTACCGCATCGTCAAGGCTGACAGAACAATTATTTCTTGAAGAAAGTTTGCGTTCTCTGAAAGCAGAATATGTAGTACCACTTGTTATATATCTTGGACATGAATCTTGTCAAGAAACTGGAAAAGTTCTTGAAGCTGGTGCTGGTTGGTTTGGACAAAGTAGGTTTTCATTTTTTTCATGGAAATGTTGTGCCATTTGCAAATGTAATATCATTCAAGAATTTTTGCATGTTATTCTCATCGAAAGATCTAGTCTGTAAATAACACTCATTTGAAAGATATAAGTAAGATGTTGTTGTAAATTGGTTTAAATGAGGTTTTTGCTGTGTACAACTACAAGCTCTTAATTTTATTAGCTTACTTTTTAGTTCAAGCCTATCGTTCGAAAGGAATGGTCTTGCCGGCTGCAAATGCGGAAACTAGTAAGTCTGTGCACATGTTTTCTAGCATTTGTAAAAATTTGTACTGGTGACCCAGTACAAATTTTTACATTTTTGTACATCACCAGGAACTATCCAGTTAGGACTGTGTGTGGTCACATAATCTGTTCTTTGGTTCAGCTGTCAGTGACTTATATTGCCTACTCTTTTCAGATTCTCAGGTCATGTCATCTGAAGCTTTTTGTTATTTGTTCTGTGGTTGGATAAGTAGTTCAGGGCTTCTGTAAACCGTTTTGTTAAATCTGCAGCAAAAACGAGCGATGAGTAAGAGGTAAATGAGTTGGTGTAGCGAATAAGAACTGTAAGTGAGAACATTTATTCATTTTAAATTATAATGTGTCGTCACCATGTATTTTAGTTGCCGATAACTGGACTGCAATAACTGACATGACATCAGCAAAACATTTCGATAATATACAAGGTTATTGCTTTTTCTCAAGGTTTTAAGTTCTGATTACTTTATTTACTGAATCTCATAAGTTGTATTGCCGGTTATTATATGCAATTTCAGAAGTAACGGCCGATCTATTGAACAATGCGAGAAAAGTAAGTTCTGATTTATCCTCTGTTTATGAAGTTTCCTATATGAAAAGTCGTAATCAAGCAAAACTCTTATTTTCAGGAAGGCATATCAGGGACAAAATGGGAATTAGAAAATGAGAAGAAAAATGAATATATGGAATTGTTAACGGTATCAAATACATTAGTTATTAGAGCTACTGGTTGAATTAATTTTGAAGTTGTAAGGATATTGGATATGTGAGTTAATATATTTGGGAGAAGTGTTTTGTGTTCACACACTGGTGAGATGTTGAAGAATCTTGATAAATAACATTTGTTACAGATTCTTGCTAGATGGGAAGAAAAGCTTATCAGGTTTTGAAACGCTTTTTAGGTTGTAGCGAAGGCTTTAAATCAGAAAATACATGGTAGTCCGACGTCTTCTTTTATGTTCATGTTAATATTGATGAACGGGACGGATATGCATAGTTTTAGTGAGTTAATCTTTTTCCGTTGATTTTTTCTGCTCATCATATAATCGTCCGAAATTAAAAGTTGAACTTCAAGTATCTTATCTTCCAGTGAATTTTGTGTTCATGTTAACTATACTGAGGATGATATGGTAAACTGGCAGAATTTTTATTTTGAAGGCGACATTTGAAATATATAATCCATATTTTTTAAAGCTCAAAACAAAGAATAAAGCAGAGAAAAGCCAAGGATTTATTTATAGCAGTACCTTTTGACGGTGATTATGTTCCTGGTCAACGAGAATTAATCTGTATTATTGCGATGCACTGGAATATTTTCGAACAGATTCTCAATGGCCAAGTTATAACAAAAAAGGTGCGCTGTTATGCGTTTAAAAATTTTTTTTTTGGAGAAATTAAAAGAATGAAGTGTTTTTAATCCATAGTGTTGTTTATTGCCTTGCGTTGCAATCCCTTTTCGCATTATGAAACGGTCACTTTTTTGCCTTCGGTAATATAGGTTTGTTTGCGAAACATCCATCCGTTGTTTTTAACAATGAAAATGAAATACCAGATACATCCATTTTATTTTTTTTTTTTTTTTTTGAGAACCACAGATTCAGTATGGAGAATTCTAATTATGGAGTATTTACAGATCATCAGACCTGGGAAAATGATAATTATTGGAGATATAGGTGAGGATGATGTGATAGAGTCCATAAATCACTTGGCCAAATCGATGAAAGCAAAACTTTAGGGTTTCGTGCTTTTTATATGCATATTAATTAAATATTTTGGGATACTGAAATGAATTGTAGAATTTCTTGAATTTTTTTGTGTTTTGTTTACCTTTCTGCGTTTGTTTTTAGCATGAATTTTTATGTTTTCACCTATTTTCGTTTTTTAGGCTTTATGTTAGAAAACATCATAGCAATTTTTAAACGAGATCATAAACATGAGCTGTGCCTTCCATCTAAAGTGACATTCATGTAATCCTTCGCATTGGACAGCTTGTCTATCTGCACTTTTTGCATCTTGTCTTCTGATATGAATAAAAGAGTATTTAATAAGTTGCCTTTATTCCGATCGTGAATTTGCGATGGAAATATATTCATAACATGGAAATACGAACTTCAAAATATTCAAAATACATTTTACTTATAATAAAGATTTTAGATTAGAAAGGTGGAAATTCCATCTGGAATTATCGAAATGAGTGTTTTCTTTTTTAATAACGAAGGAAATTATATTTTAATTTCTGTTTGAAATAGCAAGTTATTAAGTAGTTACATGATCAGTTTGACATTATTCTTCTGTCAAGGAAGTTTCGCATTTGCTTACTGCTTTTTACAAATATTTCTGTAAACAACCATCTCATTATATTTAACGAATAAAATGATCTGGCAGCCTACATTCAATACTTTCTAGAGAGTTTGGGTCCATAGTGTTAACAAAATAAAGATTTTCGGAATACTAATTACTGATAAGTCTATTATCCGTCTTAAACTGTAGTTCATCCGATGCAGTGCTTATTAGTGTTTATAACGGTCTTGTGTTCTATATCACCTTTCAGGATCCGTTTGGGTATTTTCCTATCGGGTGTTTTCTTTTCATTCTCGATCAGAATTTGTGTTTTGTAATAATTTTAAGTGGGAACTGTTGTAGAAATGGAGACGGTGCACAAGAAATTGTTAGCTGAATGGAATAAGGAGCCTAAGGTCTTGACTGCAGTTAATAGTGCACTAAAACAAGTTAAGGTAATCACTGTCGAACTAATTATTATTATTATTATTATTATTGGTCATTGTTACTAAGTTTTATAAATATTCTAATTATTTTCAATAGGGAACTAGATACGATGAAGATAAGTTGTGATTGAATATGCTAGGTGCTTTCAAATTATCATCTAGAGGCTGCTAATACTAAAAGCAATGATTGCCATAAAATTAATTAGTTGGTGATCTTATGAAATCTTACTGCACTTTTCAGAATGTTCTATTGTGTCGGGAAGTATTTCAAAAAAAGCTTCTGGAATAACTTAATTTTCTTTGTATTTCAGAAAATGATGGAGAATCCAGAAACGCTGAGAGACTTAAGCAGTGCTGCGCTACATATTATACATCGTAAGCCCTTTTTTTTCATGGCTGAATTATTCAAATGAATTTATTTACACGCACAGAAATTCTCTTTTGTAGGAGATGTTTATGAAATTGATGCCCTCTATGCGGTGCTTCAATCGGATCTCAAAGCTTTTCATGAAGCGATCAGTGTTGTGATGAATTTTTACGATTGTTACAGGTCGCTTTTATTTGAAAATATGAATAAATACTAAGTCTTAGCTTTATATTCTTATCTGTATCATTTAAAAGTTGGTGAGTTTATTTTTGTAGTTAAAATTTTCTTTTTTAGGTCAAATGAAGAGTCACCAAATAAGTTCCTAATGATTGGTTTGAATTTGATGTACTTTTTAACTACCAATCAACATGCACAATTCCATATGGTACGTTAAATTTACTTACAGTCAGGTATTTTTTTTTCTCCAATTCATCGTGCACATGAGTAACCATGTAGTATTTTTTGTCTGGCTCATTACTTCGTGTGGTTTATTATACATACTGAGATTGGAATTATGTTTCACGTTTCTCACATTATTTTGTTTTTGTCTTAACATAATCTTTCTCACATTATTTTTCGTTTTTGTCTTAACATCTATTATGTACTTAATAAATCTCGCAATTCATTCAATGAAATATATCAAAAAATGATACATTTTTCCATTCATTTTTGTTACAGTTGTTGGAACAGATCGACCAAAATGTTCAACAGAACAATCCATATATCACAACACCGGTAAAATTGGAACAGTCACTCATGGAGGGTGTTTATAATAAGGTATTCTAATCATGACAGTGTTATACTCATGTGGTATTGTTATTTTTATGAGAAGGTTTTGTTGTATTATTGTGTGTTAATAGGTTGTAATTATATATGTTCAGTATTGAATGCCCAAATAAGTATTATTGTTGTCGCCTAGTGTTTTATAAAGCGTGATTTTTATTGCAGGTTGTTCTTACAGAGAAAAACATCCCCAGTCCGTATTATGCTCTTTTTATCCGTATATCTATGGATACAGTACGGTCTGCTATTTCTCTTTTTTAACATATATTTTGACGCTGATATGAAAAGCAAAGCTCATTACAAATTGCAGCAGTGGGATGCGAAGAACTTTCATTTGTGGATATTTGCAGAGATGAGATAGCTTCATGCATCGAGTGTTCCTTCAAAAAAGTTTCACAGAAAGATGCTGCGCAGTTGCTTCTTTTCAACAATGTCAGTGAAGTCATTCCCTTTGCAAAGAAGGTATTAAATATGATTTGGATTTGCTTCAATTATATAATATGTTTTTTTATATCTTTAGTTTTATTTCTTATACTTTACTGCAAAAATGAGATAACTCGAACAACTGACAGCGTAGTGGGTAAAAATGGTTTTGATGAACTAGTGTCATGAGATTTTTTTGTATTCCAAACTGTTATGTCCAAATGCCATCAAGATATTGAATAGAGATGTTGCTCAAAAAAAAAAAAAAAAACCGAAGAGGTTAAAGGCTAAAAGGCAGTTGGACCAGAGAAAAGACATTTCGTTTCGAAATGTTTTTGAAATAAAGTTCAAATTTAAAATAATTGTTGCAGCGCTCCTGGAAAAGTTTGGACAACACGTATATTTTCGAACAGGGATTGTCTGGGGTAAATTCTCTTTCTGTTGTGAAATAAATGAAAATTAAATTTATCGGAATCGGTTTATACTATAGACCTTAATAAGTTACGAAGAATACCAACAGCTAATTTAGTTGAAATCATTTCAAAAAAGTAGTTTCAGCCGCTTCCTAAAGAACAGCTGGATACCAAAAGAATTGCAAAACAAACAATATTCTACGCGAAGCAACTTGAAATGATCGTGTAAATGGGAGAGAAGTGAGAATGAGTGATATTTCTTTGCATAAAATTTGCTTGTTGCTGTTAACCAAAAAATTAGCTTGCTCTCTTCATTCGATTCATGTCACCAGGGCTACGGAAGTTTTTTGATTTAAGTTGACTCAAGTGGTATACTACACGTAGTTAATGACTTTGATGCAAAAAATTATGTTTAAAACATTATGCCACTACTTCTACATTACTATGTTTTCAGTATCTTGCATTAGTGACCATCATATGGCACTATTTTTTCGGCTTTTACGAAACAAATATTTGCTCTGGTGACTCTATGCTTCTTAAATATTGTTAGAATGTTGAAGAAATTTTAAGCAAAGAAAACTGTCCCTAAATAATGGAATATTTGGGCAACTCAGAGCAATACCACATCTTTACATTGATTTCATTGGATTGATTTAGTTTGCATTTCAAAAATGCGATGATACATGTAGCAGTATAGCTAAAAATTCTGATAGGCTCGTAATCTGTTCTGTTTTTTTCTTTTTTTTTTTTCTTTCTATATAGGCCCTGAAGGGAGGGCATTTGCGGGATTCCAGATGGCAAGTTTGGAAGATGATGAGTGGGAAATTTTGACATTATTGTTTGTGAGACTTAGAGATAAAGAACATGTCTGACTACGGGTGCTACGAGTGATGATTAAGGCTTCGTAAATGTTTAGCGGTTTTTTGAATGTTGATATGCGATGGATCGGAATGATAGATCCAGAAGTTCTGATAGTCCAGAGGTCATGAAGTTTCTCTTGAGGTAAGCTATAAATAGACTGGTGGCTAATTATTTATCATTTCTTAAACTTGATAAAACAGCCGTTGGTGTGCTCTGAGAGGAGCAGTCACTTGTAGTGTTCGTCCGCCGTAAACGTCCTAGAACTGCAGAGGACGGAATAGTTTGAAAATAATTCAGAAACAATGTCTATGAAGCGAAAGAAGTTAGGTTTGTATAAATATGTTTGTACAAATAAAATATACAAGTGAAGTTTGGTACGGTCTGTTATTTTATTTGAAATTTTTGTTTTATTTTTTTCAAGAATAACGAAATGAGCCAAATTTTATTTTCAAAACCCCTGTTACATATGCAAACTGTTGTGAATGAGGTGAAATATTTTAGATTAGCAAAGTAAAAGTTTAGGAGAAGATTGGGATGATATAGACATCGATGAGGAGGACGAAGGACAAGTTGAGGAACACTTAGTAGAGGAACGGTCACGACTTAAACTAGTAAGTTCATAAAAGCATAAAAGTAACATGTCATTTTAAGGAACAGTTTTATTAGGTTTTTTAAAATGCCTAGGGCTGAATCATTTAATCATTTAGGTGCTGAAAGAGCTAATGAAACCATGTGACGTTTAAGGGATCGAACACATCGTCCGCTTTGTTGATGAATCGTAGACAGTTCTATCTAATAATATGTTATGGTTATTCTGAACATATCGAAGCCTGTCACATGAATTTTTGTCTTTTTCTTTTTGTAAAAAGGAGATGGAAAGGAGAGAACAAGAAAAAAGAAAAAGAGAAAAGGAGAAAGAAAAACAACGCAAATCATCCGCAAAAAGATCGAAACTGCCAATTGGTGTCATTATCAATACTGATAAGAGCAGGTTTCCTATCCTACCTGAGCTTTCAGCTAATGAAACCATATGACTTATGTAAGATATTCTTTCCTTAATTTCATCTTCTGAAATACTAGGTTAAGTTCCTCCATAGTTTTCGGGGCTCCGTCTTTGCAGCAATTCCAATTCATCCTTACGCTTATTAGTAAGGAAAGAATATATCTGCGCTGTTCTTTTGGTAGTGCTATCATTTAGAAATTGTGGAAAAGCTTGTGGAAAGCTTGGGTTTTTTTCTTTCAAACGATGATGCAATTATTCTGATAGTCCCATTTTAGGTATGAGGTTCTTGAATTATTGGGAGCTGGTGGTTTTGGGGATGTTTACAAAGTGCGACAAGTTGATGAGGCTGGAAGAGGTGATGATATATTTGCTCTGAAAACTGAAACGAATACCTCTGGGAAGATACTCAATCGATTGAAAGTAAATTTCTCAGTTATTACCAGGAAAAGTATCCGTGATAATTGTAAAGCAATACTCATTGGTTTATTTACTACTAAAATATCACTAACTATTCATAATCAAAGGAAAGCTTCTTTCAGTGCTAATTTCTCCTTTACCAAATCTTTTCATGTTCTACTTCCTAACCATTTATTACTCATTAAACTTTTTGAATAAGTGTTTTTCGTATTAGAATTTGACCCCTCAAATTTACGATAACTTTTCTTTCTGATTTCCAAAAAGTAATCCCAATTAACCAGCGGAAAATGAAAACATTTTTTTTTATTTTGCAAACAGATGGAAATGACTATTTTGCAAGAATCTGAAAGTCTGCCGGAAGAGAAACGAAAACATTTTATCAAAATGATTGATAGAGGTGAGGTTCATTATCCATGTTGTCATTGATCTGAATCACTAAAATGTCTAAAATTATTTGCTAGTATTAGGTATATTAGAAGAAATTCACAAAGCAATACAACCGCGCTCTTAATATTTCTTATAAAGAAGTACTTAGCATATCGATAAAAGTAATAGTAGAAGATTATAATGAAATAGACTTTATTTATTCATCCACTAAATTCATTGTTTTTTGTTTTGCTCAGGACGAACGGAATCATTTAAATTTATTGTGATGCAGTTAGTGGGTACCAGCGTTGATAAACTTCAAAAGCAACAACCTAAAAAACACTTCACGTTTGCCCTTTCTCTTCTCACCAGTATTAGGTATATTAAGAGAAAGCTTCAGAAAGTTGAAGTTTCTGAAGCATCTTAACCTACTACAAACACATATAAATTTTTCACTACAGTTACTTTCGTTCTCCTCTCCATTCATCCCAAAACTGTTTGCAACCCATTTCTCTCCCGATCACTTCCAGATTTACAAATAGATCCAGTGATAAATATGATTGAATAGTGTGATAAAATATTTAGACTCTCGACCACCATAAAATTAAGTCTTCAAACTTTGGAAGGAATAAAAGATTTGCATGATCTTGGCTATCTGCATCGAGATATTAAACCACAGAACTTCTCGATTGGTCTAAGAGAAAAAGCTAATATTATCTATGTGCTTGATTTTGGCATTTCACGTCGATATATTGAGAAACATAGCAAAGCGATCAGGTTAGATTAGATCGACCCAACATTATTAACAAGTTAAATTAGATCAATTCAATATCATTAATAAACAAGATGTATAATAAGTTTGGTAGCAACTATTTTAAATATTTTTGAAGAGTGAAGTAAGTTAATCTCGATCGAGAGATGAGAATGGTACTAAATATTTTGAGGTTACCTCGGAAAATGGTACGCTTTCTTGGCACAATACGATTTGCATCACGCAACTGCCATTATTCACGTGAACAATGTCGAAGAGATGACCTAGAATCATGGGCATATATGTTGATCGAGTTCACGGAATATGCATCACTCCCTTGGTCGAAGATCATTGATCGTGATCTTGTTTGTAAGGAGAAGGAGCGACTCTTTGCTGGCACATGTTTGTTTATTTACTTCTTGTGAATCAAACATTTCAAACTTCAAAATTTGTAAATTGAGCAAACTGTTATTGCTACCAAAGAAAACTGATACATTTTTGTGACGAGGAGAATGCTGAACAGACCTATATCTAAAATATCGGGTCAACTAAATGTTTGAAGAATCAGCTCAAAATTGTTTCTAATCCTCGATTTTCAGTCCTCGTTCTTGCCACAATAAACCTTTGATTTTTTGTTGCTGATATTTAAGATACGAAACATATAGCAAGCTTGCCGGAGGAAATACACAAAATTTTAAAATATATCAACGAATTGAATTTTCAAAATACACCAGACTATGAATACATAATGATGATGCTGAAGCGAGCAGCGGCACGAAAACATGCCAGCATTACCGCGAAATTCGATTGGGAAGAGTCCGAGGTATCTCATAATTCAATTTCTTCACATGGGATTATGTTAAATACTGAACAGCTTAACGGAAAGTAGAACAGTCGGATTTTCATAAGGAAAGATTACGTATTAATAGTACATCACACTGAATAATTAGACCGTTACTATGCTAAAAAAAGACGCTTAGCTATTCGTAAAATTATTTTGAATTGGTGTATGGATGCTCTCGATAGCAAGCGAGAGCATTGCATTGAGATTTCGTGATATACTAACAGTGGTCTGAACGGCTATCGAAATTGTTCATGGTGAAATGTCCGATAAAAGACTTTTATTTTACAAAGACTTATTCGTGAGGCAGCATACTTGCAATGGAAAGAATCTGAAATTAAGTAAAAGTGATTTAGGCATTATAATTAATTTAATACGTCAACATATCTAAAAAAATTTCCGAAACAATCGAAAAAATGCTTAATAAAATATGAAACTATAGAGCGAAACGCATGCTGCTAAGCAAATGATTAGCTGTGATGACAAGTATAAACCTCGAAACGAGAAATCGGAAGGCCGTAAGCCAACCAAAATAAGGCCAATTAATGTTATTATAAACAAGGTATTTAAATTTTAAATTCAAATTTCGGTTTGGTTTGCAGCATAAAATTTATCTCAAGCTATGTAATGAATTTTTGCTTGAAAAATTTCTGACATTGCTGCTTATTTTCACTGATGAAAATATTATGAAAAAGCATGGTTTGAGTTGTGTTTTCAATCTGTTGATTTGATGTATCTGCCATTTAACTGTGACGGCTTCAAAACCTTCTTTCAGGTCAACCATCTCGAAGAACAAGAACAATAGATGTAGAAGAAAATCGTACATTCATTTTATTTTGCATTATGTTATTATAAACAAATCCACAAATTCTGCATGAACATACGTGACAGAAAAGTAGGTATCTAAAACAAAGCTTTTTAAATGATGTCAGGCTTTAGTAAATTATAAGAAAGCTTCATCCGTCTTTGAACAAAACTGATGCGTAACCTTTCAAGTCACTGAAGTATTTCATACGGTCGACCAGTATCATGATCACTAGAAGTATGACTAGTCGTAATCCTCGTCATCGCGTGATTTAAATTTGTTAGCCAACCAGCTGACTTTATTCACAACCTGGAATTCCCAGTGAATTGACTGTAAGGGTAACTTACAACTTTATTTTCAATCCCCCCACTTATTCAACTTCTCTAAAGCTAGTTATGATTTTATGAATTAAAATGACCTCTTCTTGTGCTAAGTTAAAACACATCGCTAGTAAAGCCATCCCAAATAGAAGATAAACTGAAGTTATCACAAGCTTCTTTTGTGCATCCTTATCGTTTCCCACTGATGCACCAGGAAATTTGTCACCAAATCCTGAAAATGAGGTAAAGAGCAAAATTTTGGTATAATCACTGGAAGCATAAATAAACATTTTAAATTTAATCTGTGAGCAATCTGAAGGATCCTAAAGAATGTTTTGAAAGTTTTTCCATGAAACATAAGAAATTTTTTTTAATGAACTTCAGAAGGTTCATATTTTCCTGCAAACGTTGAAGAAACTTTAATAAAATATTTTTCTTATCAATATAAGAATTAATTTCTGATTACTCTGCACAAAATCTAACAAACAAGATTAGGAGAATTCAATGAGAGGTTTCAAATTTTCAAATGATTTAAAAAAGATAAAGAACCAATGGTAGTCAAAGAAATGTAACAAAAGTAGAAACTGTCGAGGAATGTCCATCCTTCCCAGAGACAGAACAATACCGAACCAGCCACCAGATAAGCAAACATTGTAAAGAATACCAAACTTAGTGGGACCGATATACGTTGTAGTTGTGCTTCCACACTCTCCTTCACCTTAACTTTTTATTTATTTCATCATTTCATATCTACTTATTATCTTAATCTGATTTACTTAAGGAAACTCCTTAAATAATTTCTTAAGTTGATTTCTAAATTAAGCATTCACTTTCCAGCCGATTCTGAAGTCACAAACAATATCCCTTCTCAATATTGGCTTCTCAGTCATATTTTAGCAGTTCATAACTAGGAAAAAAAAAAAAAAAAAAACAATAAAGTGATTACTTCAAGTTGTTCAATCTGTGCACGAGCTGTCAGCAAATCTTGTACATCGGAACTAAGCCGAAACGAATCTCCTGACAAGTCTGTATTTACATCCTACAATATCATACAGGAAATACATTTTATAAATTTATGGATTCAGTGATTTAAAGAATTTTTTGTTTCAATTTTTGAACTAACTTACTCTAGTCAGTCGAGAAACAAGAGAGTTAGCACGGCGCAATTCTGCAGCTTTACGCCGTTTGTGCCACAAAATAAGGCGATATTTGAGTCGTATTGAACGTGCGTAGAAAAACCGAAAAATTTTTGCCATAACATCGCCGATATTCGTTAAGAAAAGTAACATTATAGGTATTCCTGAAGAGAAAATGCAAACACACTTCAATGAAAATTAGGAAAACAATAAGAAAGAAGATAATGACAATTTACCGATAATTGCGAACAAAATAGTTAATGTTTTGCCGAAATACGTTTTAGCAGATGTATTACCATAGCCAATAGTTGTTATAACTGTTAAAGAGTAAAGGAAGGCTCCGGTGAATGTCCATTGAGCTGATAAACCATATTCCTAAAATACTTCTAATTCATTAGCTTAAAGTTATTTTCTGAAATTTTAGAACAAGTCCAAGTGCACATTTACTTTACTTTTAAGTCATAAAACTCGAGTTAAAGTAAATTAATGCCAAGAAGATGTCAAAAAATTCTAGTGCTCGAATTTACCAACCTTTCCGTCATAACCACGTTTGATTGCCCACATACACTTACGTTGAAATCGTCGCACTTGAGCATGAACTGTACGTTCCCATTGTGCACGATCCAATTTGTTGACCCTAAGTTGGTATTTCCTTGAATTCCAAATTCAACGACAGAAAAGTTTCAATACTTGGTGCAGTGATTTTGAAAAATCCACAGAAGTCGATTAATCGCTGCTTTAGATGAAATCATCAACGACATTCCTTTGATCAGACCACTGCATCGGTATCTATAAGATACTTCCGTGGCTCTACTGTTAGCATTATGTCCTGCTGGGTTGGATGCAATGATAAATACCTAAAAGTAGCGTTCCAGGCGATATTGACAGCTTTTTGCCTTGCCGTTGTCACCTGGCCCTGTATGAACGTCTCATGCGGTCCTTCTACTGCTCGAAACACAACTGCGCCAAGTAACGCGTACCCAATAACCTAAATAGTAGCGCGATCATACTGTAATCAGGACTGCATTTAAGATCAGCAGCAGCGCCAAATTTAATCAAGATTTATACGCTGGATGACCTTCACTGGATTCTCGACATTAAATCATTTTCTTCCTTCGTTTATACCAAACATAAAAATATATTGTAGAACACTTCCATACTAACCAGCGCGCATAATCCAACATGAGAAAAAAAGAATGCGATGATTCGTTTGATAAGGTTAATCACTCGAGTGACCTTTGATCTTCGATGATTTCTTCGTGCCATGGAGCTAATTAACTGGGCTGAAATAGGAGAAGCTGTCTGATTACTAGGCCGGAAGAAGATGAAAGAGAAGAAATCCTCCTCCATTTATCAGCGAAAGTGGCCTATACGCTTGGAGATGAGATAGAATATATCTCGCCTTGATTGGGCCCTTCCTTTTCTTTTAAACCTACGAAAAAGCTATCTCTCTACCACTACGGCCAACAACATAAATAAACAGCATCACTGAAATCTAACAATGCAACGACACACACATACACACACACACACATATATATATACAGACATGGATATATACATACACATGCAATGACATACATTCTCATTTGAATTAGCAAGCTCGAGAATCTGAATTCTCTGGAGACTAACATAGAATAAAGGTTATCAGAATGCTTCTCGCTTTTCTAATATGAATTTGTGCTGGCATAAACAATGCATCTGTTTAGCAGAGATATTGCCATTTGAAATTTTAGCTTTGCTATCAAAGTGTGCCAAGAAAGCATTCTTGTGTAAAGAGGATAGTACAAGCAAATAAGCCTGAGCAGGAAGATGAGATATATCCTTTTATAGATGACAAATGAACGGACAATCGATGTTCCTCTCCTTTCCTTCTCTCTCCACCATCATTTAAAAAACAAGGAAGAATTGTAGTAATGAAGGGCTAACTAAGTCATTTCTATACAAATATTTCAATGTATTTATACAGAAATAAATTTTCTGCGTAACTTTTGTTTTCAATCAGAAAAGCTGATTGAAAACAAAAATTCGATTTCAAATTTTTAAATAAATTTGATTTCAATATTCTTTAAAAATAAACTATCCTGCTTTGCTATCTGAAGATTTTTTTTAGGAAGATTTGAAGCCAAGAAAGGGTGACGAAGAGTGAACCATTGCAAACTAATGAATGAATTAGAGACTAGTTTTAGTAAAACTGGTTTCAAAAAAAGAGACTAGTTTTCACACCCTTGTTTTTTAGCCCATTTTATTAATCAGTCAGTTAACCAATCGATGAGATACTATTTTAGCATCAAAATCACACACTTGCAATACTCGGAAAGAATAATTAGGTGAATTGCATTTGATTAGTTTGCTTCCAAATCGCGATAAAAAGAAATCAGTCCCACCCGTGCACTGATAAATGTCCAAAATGAGAAAATCATTCTACAGCAAGGGAATGTTGAAATGATTATTGACAGATGGCGTGCCGCATGATGAAAAATATTCTCGAGAGCCACAAAATATCCGAACCAAAATGTTAGTGAGATGAAAATTTTATTGCGGTTCGTTTTCCCAATCAAAGTTTTTTCCAAATTGCAACTTTCTTTATACTTTCTTTTTGAAGTTTATTTTTCGAAAATTTTAACATTTATTTTTCTTTTTCGAAAACACGAAAATTTCGATGAGTTTCAATTATTGTTGCTTTGTATTTAAGGATTTTATAAATTTATTTGCTGTTGAAGTTAAGTAGAAGTTTCAAGACAACTGAAAAAATGTGGCCATACTTTTTAGGTAACTATGATTCCAACTCAATACACATCGTTTTAGCAATATCAAGGCAATTTCAGTGTGGAACACCGAAAAGAAGTATCAGTCTTGCTGCACCTTTACAAAATTTTTAACTGAAGAAATCTATTCTAGAGAAATTAAAAATTTGGTAAAGTTTAACACTAAATACCTTCAGGGAAGAGAATTTCAGCTACGATACATAATTGAATGAATAGATTATACTGCACAAAACTCATTTTTTAATTGAAAAAAGATAAAAATGACTTCGTACTTAATAAATAATTAAATATTAAAATTAGTACGGCAATCTGGAATAATAGTTTAATCTCTCAAGTTATTTTCTTCTTTTTGAGAATCAAATACTGTCTTAATTCTAAAGTTAAGACAGTATCTAACTTTAAGTGCTTTTTTTTTCAAGTAAAAATGGCAACTGGGCCAAGAATGTGTCTTGCTGAACCGGTTCGCGAAGCAAAATCTAGTAAGGCAAGATGGATAGTTAAATTTCAAAGCTAGTTCTTCGCGTCATTCTACTAAACGGAGTTTACAAATTAGCTTAGATAGATTTTAAGTTGTTTATTTAATGAATGTATTTCGATTGGAAGAATCGTAATACGGCTAAAATTTCTCAGCTAAAAACCGCTCGGTAAACAAAATCATTTCCATCTATTCGACTGAGCATAATTTGCACATAGATAAAGCACTGCGACACTTACAATTTTTTCTTTTTGATCGGTTAGTTATCCATTCACTCCACCACACTTTTAAGTAAATTTGAATTCTATACGGTTCAAGTCTACATTATCAATTGAAATTAATTTTTAATTTTTATAATTTGATTTAAATGGTTACTTTATTTAAGGCTTCAGCCAAAAAATTCTGTAGGAGGAAACTTCTCCGATCTCTTTTCCTCTTCAGCTTAATGTTTAACTTCTTTGCAGCCAGGAAATTTTTTTTAAAAAAAAAAAAAAAAAAAAAAAAAAAAAAAAAACATGTCACAATTTATTTCTGAGCACAGTTTCAGAATATGGCAAGAATCATCTGCTTGTTTTCTTTTTTGTTCTATATTTCAATGACCTCAGCCATGACAGCTTTACCAGGACAAATCCCATACTGGGCTGGAGGTGCTGCAATTGGTTCATCGCTCGGAAACAGATTACTTGGAACTGATCAACAGCTAAGTAACTTCGGACTTCTTAGTTCAGGTGGTCTTAGTGGTTTTGGTTTGGAGAGTTTAGGTCTCGGTGGTTTACAGAATCTTGGTAGCTTTCAAAGTCTCGCTAGCTTGCAAGGTCTCGGTGGCTTACAAGGCTTACAAGTAATTCAAATACCACTTGACAATACTGTCAACAACAATATGTCGCCCTGTACAGCGTGCATAATTTGTTCACCGCAAAGTGCGTCAACAAGTATGTTTGTTTTCGAAACTATTCAAATATAGAGAAATATTATTTTAATTGGAAAATTATTTCTATGCTTGGCTCTATTTGCAGATTGTATACCCGTACCGAAATTAGCACCAATCAGTAGCCAGTTTTGTTGCTGCTGCACATCTGTAACTGGATCGGCAATTGGGACCGTTAATAGAAAGAAGTAACTTGCAGAGCAAATACCTCAGAAAGAGCTGATAAAGATGTCAAAGCTTTTGACTGTACATATCTTTTTGACATTCTTTCATTATTTTTGATAACTCATAAATAAAAAGACCCATTGAATATCAACATTTAACTTATTCGAAGAACCAAAAAATGACAAAAGGATGGTTCGCTTTAAAAGAGTTGATATGCTAATATTCCAAAAAAAATTTCTCCGAATTTTCCAAAAACTGGATTAAGAAAATTCGAGATAGTCTTCGCCATTTACGATATTGCAATATCAGTATCATATTTGTAAACAACAAAATAAAGTTTCTTCGAGGAAAATCTCAGCAGGAACTGTTAGTTACAAAATAATGTCCTTCATTCATGTCCCCGGAACTGCAATTGCATCTTTTCCTTCAGTTAATATTACATCGCATTAAAATTCATTAATTATCGTCGACTTTGTTCTGATTAAAAATAGGCTTAGTGATTAAATTTATGTTGTGCCGAATCCTAAGAATTTAAAAGAAGCAAATTACTTTAACTAAGATCATGGACCTAAAAGTCCAAGACGGCATACTATCTTATTACTTAATTAACCTGAATAATTACCTGAAAAGGAACAATAATGAAGTGGGAACAGTTAAGGATATAATTACATAATAATTTACTTTCCAAAAGCTATGTTCAGAACCAACCTATTGAAATAAGTGTTTCCTCTTTAGCAAAGCAAAGTAGACTGTAGATGAAAAGCATTACGATATTTTTGATAAATCTCAAAACGCTTTTAGGACCGAAAATTTGAAGTTTTAACGTTTATTGCGATAAAAAGTTTGAAAAAAACATGATTTAAGAATTAGTCAAACAAGTACATTCCAATGATAGTTAGTCGTTGAGCTATGTATAAGATCTAAACAAACCTGCTACTCAATAAGAAAGTGCAAAAGTTCACTTTTTGTTATTTTTCTATAATCGCTATAAGGAAATGCATACCGATGGGATGCAAAGCACGCTTTGCTAATCGAACTTGATTTAGAAGTTCTCTGTTGATAATCAGTTTAACGGGTTTATTTTTGGCTAAATAGTGTTGATGCTGGAAATGAAATTCTGCAATTAGCGTTGATACGGTAGCTGCGAACGCGATGGTTGTTAGAGCTCCCATGCAAAGATATACCTGAAACTATTTTAATCAAACTGTAAGACAAAATTAGAAAAATTGTCGAAATAAAAAAAAGTTGTTGACAGTATATATATATATATATTCATAAGTCCACGTAGATATCATTACAACTACTAAAGTTGAATTTAAATGAGTATATCAATGTTTTTTCAAAAATTTGAGATAAACTACCTGGGAATTCGAAAAAATCAATATTATCTCTCATCAATTTTTTCAAATTCATAAAATACATTTCTTGAAACAGAAATGTAAACGATGATTATACAAAGAATGACGAACCAATAACTCACCCACTTTAAATAATAGCGCAGGTCTCGATAGAAGCCTGTAAAAACTTCTTTAAATTTCATCAAGGAGAAAAAGCTTCGGACAATTACCAAATAAATTCGTAAGTGAACAATTCAGAGACCTTTTTCCTTGTATCTCTTCACTTCTGTTATTGCTCTTATAAATCTATGATTGGTCTCTTCTGCAAAAAATTGATTTGCTGTGACACTTTCTCTTTTATCTTCCCAAATTACAGCTTCATTTGCTATAAAAATCGAACAGATATGCATTAGTTGACATATCTGCAGGAATAACAGAGAAACGAATTAAAATTGCCTGAATCGGAAGATACTGTATTGTACAGTGCTTGAATATAATCAACACTTCTGCATAGATCTTTGTCAAAAACTTCCAAAACTGATATCTTGTCGTATTCTATAAATAATTACTAACCTTGTTCTGCTTATTTTTTTCAACATCGAGTTCGCTCAAAATATGGAGGTAACGGACGCTGTATAAAAACTACGTAATCAGAGAAGCACAGCAACTCCAAATTAAAGGAATAATACTACCATTACTTCATTAGTGAACTTGTCAACAAATTTCAAGCAGTACTTTTGATAATGATCATAAGAGGATAACCAAATTTAGCTTGCTGGATAATTTCAATATTCGATTGGCAGCCTAGCTGCAATTTAATATGCCTTCTTCTAAGAGAAAATATAATTTGTTCAAATGTGCACGGAGGATTAGTCCTATAGATCAAACCTACAAATAAAATAAGTTGATAGACACACATTCTGAAAACTGGATCTCTGTTCATACTACTTTTATTTCAGGTCTGAATCATCTCATTTGTTATCGATCTTACTTTGCAAAGCATTCTTTATTTGAAATAAATAGTAACAAAGCGAACACTGATGTCGAATTCTGATGGTGCACCACTTGTGGAACAATTCGACTGCAATTAGTTTCTTTCGAAATCGGTCGCGAATATACAATAAAGGCCTTAAAATTTTCATATTATTCAACCAATGCATGTCGCAAATGATTTTCAGAAGCAGACCTTGTTAATAGTGACTCCTAGGCAGAAGAGAAAAAACAGCCAAGATATTTACCAATGCTTTGAAATACAATAAGATTGATTATGGCATGAAAAAAGAGGAAATCACACTTGCTACATTGTTGTAAGTATGAGCTGGATGTTGAGTTGTATTTGAAGATGACAACATGAACTTGATCTGGTTCTTCTTGTTGTAATAACTTGCTGATTGTTTTATTCATTATTACTATCTAAATTGTGAATATTTTTTGCAGACCGGTAGTTTTCATGCAAAGTTAAGTTATGCGTTATCTTTTCTCAAGTAATATGTTAAACAACTCTGATAACCGTAACGACACAATTATATTGCCCAATTGATTTGGTTCGTACTCTTTTAGCCATAACTAGTTTCGCAAAGAAAGAAATTTGGTTTAGAATTTGCAGCAGAGCAGAGATTCTGCAAGAAAAAAAAATCAGTTGAATAGCCAAATCTGAAACTGAATTTTATCGAAAAGTAATTATCGGCGCTGTCTTCATATTCCATACTAGTCTCATTTTTGATTTCATATTTCATGATACTTCGAGTATCATGAAATATGAAATGCTGACAAAGAGAAGAAAGAAGGAAGATGGAGAAACTATCACTACAAAACGATGAGCATAAGTAAATTCATATTTCAAATGACCAATAGAAGCAAAACTAAGAGATAAGCATCACCGCATGAACTTTTTACACAACCGCTCGTCTGCCTGAAAAATTGTAAATATTGATTTTACATTAACTTTTGTTTCGTACCGGAATTACTGACACTTAATTCCATCAAAACAGACTATTTCGCTGAATAACGTTACAGATCGGAAACAATGCAACGATTCTCGACATGAAGACTGGAGACCTTGTGACATCTGAACGATAACTGAGTTACGCGAGAAAAGTGTGGGTGAATTGATGAATGAATCGTAATGTTATTTCCCTGCAGCTCATTTTCACTTGCAATTTCGACTTCACGTGTTTATGTGATACCCGATAGAGATATTAATGTCATTTCAAATGAAGATTACTCGACATTGAGCTGACGTGATAGTACCACCGCAAGTAAGTAACAGTAGGTATTACCATTTCACGCGGGTTACAATGCTTCACAATTACTGAGGAATCTTGCACGGAATGTATTTAAAGTAAGCGGGAAAGGACGCATTTTGAAAATGCGAAAAAGTGAGAAATTCTGGAGAAATGAGGGGTTGGGATTTTAATGCTGGATTGTTCTGGAATATAACTTACTCAGTGCATTTCCTCATTCTCTTTGTTTTGGCTCATTTACTCTTCTGTTCCATTTGGATCATTAAATAATAAGCAGCAGTTTAGGATTAGCTAATAACAGATGGCTGACTTTGATACGTCATTGCTTCAGCAAACTCTTCCGGAATATTACCGGCGACTTTTTCCATTCGAACCTCTCTGCAAATGGTTAGCATATGGCGAAGGTTAGGAAATTGCTCACATATCATTTTTCTCGAATATCTGTTTGTTTAAATTAGACTAGAAGTATTGCGGTGAAGGAAGACACTGTTGAATATTAGTTGCTGGACCTGTAATTTTTGCAGATTTTCAAGTCTCATTTCAAATGCGAGAGCTAGCATTTGTTTTCGAAGATGATCGGCATGCGCGATATCGCAGTTTTGAGGATAGTGCGGATTTCGAACGAGAGTTATGCAAAGCAAACCCACAAAAGATCGATATTGGTGCAGTTTACAACTATAAAGTATAGTTGATATCTTTCTCTAAGAAATTAAATCTAACTTTCATATTGTTCTGGTCATCAGGAATGCTCCTTTCGAATGGTTATCATAGGAACCGATACTACAAATGAATGCATATCAGTTCAATAAGTTTAATAATTGCTACTAAACAGTCGGAAAATTCAATTTCAATTAAGTTCCTTGATCAGTGATAATGTCTGCAAAAGTTCTTTATGACACAAGCTTGGTTTTAGCCGAAAGACCATAAGAAATTTGCCGATTTTCATCCAGTTGAACGCGAACTCATTTTCGATATTGATCTAACTGATTATGATGATATTCGGACATGCTGTTCGTAAGTTTTTACACCCTGAAATAATGAAATTATATAATTCCATAGTCATCATACAATGGGAACTGATATTGTAATGTGTACTTTCGAGGTGTTCGTAAAGAGAAATATGAATATTCAGTCAAGAACTACTATCAAGAAATGAGACTCGTCTCGAATAGTTAAATTTCAGTCTTCTGTTTAAAATGTGGAAGTTTCAGAAAAGCAAAAGTATGTAGGAAGTGCTGGAGATGGATATCCATTGCGGTTGGCATTTTGAATTATCTGCTACAAAGTCAGTATTATTTTTGGAACCTTAAATTTATTTGCTCTTCGAAATATTCGTTTTTATGTCTTCAGCAGTTTTTACTACTTTCTAAATTTATTTTTAAGTAATCTGATTTCATATTTGTCGTTTTTATTGAAGGACATTTTGGTTTCAAGCACTGCTTATGGGTTTTCTCTGGTCGCCGGGGTATTCATTGCTGGGTTGCTGATGCTGTTGCACGGAAACTTCAGAATGCTGGTCGAATGGCAGTTGTCGAATATTTATCTCTAGTTACTGTAAGTAGTATATACATCAAATTTAAACCAAACAAATATTTTTTTAAAAAAAATATCGTTTCCACAACGGCAAGCATAAATAGCTCTCATTTTTTTCTCACTTTGATTAACATTGTAAATTGTAGGGCGGACAAAAAATTTCAAAAGCAGCATCAAAACGAGCGTTTGTTCATCCCATGGTAGAAGACGTGTACAACTACTTGATGCAATGGTCACTTTCAGTGTAATTCCTATGATTCTTGCTATTTTTCCAATTTTTAGAATTGACTTTATATTTTTGATCATTTCAGCCCAGATGTAGGTGAATTGATGTTAGAACAAGGTTGGATGAGCAATGATGGATTGATGTCTTTATTGGATGGTTGTGTAAACGAAGAAGTTGAAAAAGAAATCAGCGAAATTATAGTTGAAGTGAAAACGTAAATTAATTTTTATGGAATCAAAACATTATTGCTTTGCATAGTCATATGGTAAAATGAATTCTCTATGTTCGGTTTTTACAGCAAATGAATAAGTTAAATATAAAAGATGCATATATGCAATATGTAATTTGTTTCAGTGTTGACTGTTTGAAGAAAAGATGGAATGCTTTACGAATTAAATTTGACAAATATAAACGTGCTGAACTTAAGAAAAATGGAATTGAATTGTGTGAGGTAACTAAATTTTAAACTTCACTGATGATTTAGTGATGTGTCATCAATACTCAATTTCCACCTGTTGTTCGAAGTGCAAATGCGGACAATGTGGAAATTTCATAATGTGTTTCCATCAAACTGCTAAGGAAGGATAGGTTCAAATTCTGCTAATAAGGTGTATTGGTAATATAAGTTAAACTACGTGTTCGTATTTGTAAACCAATCAAAAGAATTACAGGTAGCCAGTCCTCAATCATCTTTTCATTTCCGTGGTTATGTGCTGCAGCATGCATATCCTCGTTTGGATATTCATGTTTCCACAGGAATAAATCATCTGCTCAAAAGTCCGTTTTGTGTACATCCTAAAACTGGACTTATCGCTGTTCCTATTAATCCGAATCAAATATCTAATATGGATATCTCAAAGTTGCCTCGCATAGAGTATCTCCTTTATTTTGATTCCTATATATAATTAAACGTGTAGTTTTCGGATTTCTCTACTTATTTATGAATGATCCAATTTTTAAAATGTTTTAGCACTTTACTGCATGAAATTTTGAAACTGGATCACAATGGTGAAACAAAAGAAGACCAGAGGAATTTCGGTATTGTTTGTTTTTTTTTTTTTCTACGCTGTTTTTTTATGAAACTTTGATTTGTAATGATTTGACAATTTAGTGATTTAGTTCAAAATATAGAGAAAAAATATCTCATTTTTCAAAAATATATCTCATTTATATCCATATATCGCTAGAATGTTGTGATTCATTGGAGAAGAGAGGAGATTAAGGCGGAACTAATTAGTAATAAATTAATTTTCGTTATACAATAATTTTGTTCTGGTTATTGAAATAATTAAGTCCCCTAATAAATAAGAAATTTTTTTCAGAAATTAAACATTGTTCATTGCGACCATTTGTCGAGACATTCGAAGAATTTGTAAACAATTTAATTTGTGGGAACAACAGCATTTGTAATCAGTAAATCGTCAGTAATTTCGTTGATGCGCACTGGTTAAGAAGTAAATTTTGTGGATTGTTAAATTTCGAAATACTGATATTGTGTTTATGTATATTAGTAAAAAAAAACATTTGTAGCCTTAACAGTATATCCAAAATTTGGGAGAATAATGGAGATTGCTCACTTAAGATAAAGTAAATCTCTTATTTAATTACGTAAAACTGATCTTGGTTTTTTCTAAGATTTCTTTAATTTTTTTTTTTCATTCGTATTATGTGTTGAAAATAAAACCACTTGAATATTTTTAAGCACGAAGCAGTTGGCTGGTGCTAGCTTTCTATTAGTATTCTAGAAAATAAGTAATTGTCAATAACTGAACTGAAACCGACCAATAACTAATTAAAGAACGTTTGACCTTCAGAGTGAAGGTACATGATCAGATCGGACAAGCAGTTAAAGTTACGGTAATGTCATAAAAAATGATCTCCTAGAATCTGTGTTTTCAGCTTCAGGAACTTTCATTTTGAAATCATAGTCGTTAGAAGAATTTCTGGAATTGGAATTCTGGAAAATCTATAAAGTTGCAGAGCTTTAATGACTGAGATGATGAATGTTTATCGCAGTGAATGGGAGGTCCTAAATTAACAAGGCGAGTTAGGGTTTTGATCAAATAAATGATACGAAGTCGCTGTGACCTTTATTTTCCTTGATCAAGGAATCTCATAAGATTGGCATTAAAAATTTCAGCAATTTTTAGCAACATTATTTGGAACCATTGGTAGAGGTAAGGAAACATTCCATTTCCCATTTTAGTAAAAATATTCGCATTCTCGCGTCTTTTAAAATTTTCAGCAAATATGCAGCACAGGCATCATGTATTCTTTTGAAAAATCATTTAGTTTTTTAAAATGTAAACAGTCAAATTCCTTCATTCTATTATAATGAACTAACTCTTTTTAGATTATATGTAAGTTATATCTGGGCCGAATTTTTTTTAGATTTATTGGCTTCAATGTTATGTCCACTCCTTTTAGGAATTATTTAAATTTGTTGCATATATTTGTCGTTTTGCTTCTTTCTATCAAACTTCATTCTCATATGTAAACCTTTCTAGCATCTCTTGTGAGTAATATTTCAGTGAAATTGGATGAACGGCATATGTAAACAAGAGAAAGTAACATCAATAGCTGGTAATAATGTGATATGGAAAAAGCCAATCGAGAATCTTTCTAGATATGCTATAATGATAGATGACAGCATTAAAGGAAACTTGATCTGTCCTCAGTTTAAATTCATCTTTGTCGTTCACTCTCAAAAGAATTTCGTTTGTCCTATCACTGGCACTCGAAATATAACTCAGAAGAAATAGTTGGGATCTTTGGAATATACCATATAGAGTTAGTTTTTTCATGCAAATTTCACACTTTTATAAAGACTGAAGAATAACCGTAAATAAAAAGGCAGTGAAAGAAGAGAAAAAGAAGGAGGACAATATGCTGTGATGTAACAAAGTATAAGACAATTGGAAGGCAGTAAAAGAAAGAATTTGTTAACCGATATCTTCCTCATTGACTTCTTTTAAGCAAATGGCGTTAAATAATTTGATAACTTTTGTAACTTCTCCGATTTTCTTTGTTTCATTTGTGTAATTCATTACCATGTAATTATACGACCTCGTTCACCATTTCTGGCTCTTTACAACTACTAATAACAGGAAGGATCTATATTTGAACTGTAACATTTTTTAATTAATCTGGAATAATGACTGTTGAAGACAATGGCAGGCCTGAACTTTCATGACTTATAATCTTTCACTTATTTCTATAAGTTTATATCTTTTTCTAATGCCTATTTAAGAGCTCCATTATTTTTCTGAAGAAATCCCAGAAAAGTGCCATATCGTCAAAGGAGATTTGTATTTAATGATAGTGCTATGAAGAGTAGCGTTGAAGAAATGAAACATGACAAATATCTTGTAGTTTTCGCAATGTTTTAACCATAGAAATGAATGAATCGAAAAATTGAGCATTTCACAAGATGAACAGCAATTCTCGACAACTAAGGCTCTAAATTATCATATTCGAAAAGAAGTCATAGGGTTTATATCAAACAGACTCCTTTTAAGAAAGAAAGAATGAACAAATTCACCAGAGAAAAACTCTATCTATTCCATCGATGACATTTCATCCGTTCTCCATCTTTTTTGAATCAAATGTTAAAAAGATTCTTAGTTATCAGATTGCAAAAAAAGACATTGAATTGAGATTGAAGTTAGATTAAAATCCATTGTTTAACACATCATTGAAATAATAGTCAAAAATCCCTGAAAAAACGAAGATCCAAAATATGGTGGAAAGCTACGCCAGACACTTCTGCTGCATATTATTTTACTAGGTATTACTTTCAGTTAATCCGTTTTCGAATACTCGAGACAATTTAGCTAGTTATTTAAGAAACTTGGTAGTTACGGTAGCAATTAACCGAATTCATTTGGTTTAATAAAATAATATTTTGTAAATTATTTTGCTATACTACTATAGTCTTAAGCAGTATCTATTTAAATTTGCAGTATTGAGAAAAAAAATTCTTTCCTTTGGTTTGAAATTATCTGGAACAGCAGTACATTTAAAGACAACGATCTAATAAAAATATAAATTTGGTCTTAAAAAAATTCGAGAAGTGTAAAATGCTGAAATAAAAATTGTAATAAGATGGGAACAGGTGAGATCAAGGATGGTAACGCGATATGCTAAATCGAGAATGGCAAAAGCGACAGGAATGTAAGTCGAGAGTTGAAGTCGACGATGATAATGACTCTGCATTTTGATCTATATATCTGAAAAAGTATGTGACTCAGGTATAACAACTGCTGTTTACTTGAGTACAGATACGCAATTCTTACTAACATTTTGCGCCTAAAATATTAAACAGTAATAGTTAAAACCTACTTTCCATATTGTATATGTCGAATATTTAAATCAGATAAGATCTTACCGAATCCACCGAATATCGGCAGGAATAAATGGTATAACATGTTTCGATATATGAAAATTGTCGATTATAAACGCATCCCGATCATAATTTTTTGTTCGCTTTTGCATCAAATTTGCATATAGTTCAGATACAAGCACCACCTAAGATTTTGTTTTTCAAATTAGAAGTTCGAAGATTTTTTGAGACTGCTATCCAAAGTAATTAGAAGAAAAAATATAGAATATCCAATATCATTTTTCCCAGAAATATGCTTGAATTTTACATTGCACTAAATTAATTTGCATTAAAATTAATAAAAAGAAAATTTTGTGGACTTATAAAGAAGTGTCTCTTTGAACCAAACTACATTACTTCAAAAATTACAGTTAAAAAACAGCAATTTAAGGAAATCAGAACAGTACTTTTCCCCCAACAACGGCTAATGCAGAACGAGCATCCTGTATTTTCCTACCGAAATAATGGATCTTACGAATATATTGTACTCCGACCAAATCAATACACATTGTCGTGATCGCCAAACCTATGAAAAATTACCTAATTGGAATTTTTATTCAAGTCAACACCTAGATAAGATATTAAATATTAAAATTAATTCTTTCAATTCGACTGGGAAAATCTTGTTCTTTTTAATCTTTTCAATCATTCATGCTAACATGAATGCTCGTGAAGTCAGTTTATAATATATTTAATAATATCAACTAAATAATATTCATACTTGCAATGAGTTCAAACAAACCTAAAATAATATAAAGTAGAATGAGGTACATATAACCATCTCGTCGTGGCATCAAATCACCGAAACCAACCTGAAAAGATAAATTTATCATCTCTCTATGGCTTATAAGATGATAGCTGAATACCAACAAATTCTTTTCAAAAACAGTGGTAAAAATGATAATGGTGGGAAAGGGAAAAAGAACTCACGGTGGTCATAGTAATAAATGACCAATAAAATGCAGTGAAAAAACTCCATGGCTCCAAATTAGACATCAATACACCTCCCAAAGATGTGTATGCAACAAGTATCATCAATACCAGCATTGCTGGTATCCTGCAATCTTTACTTAAATATCCTTAGAACGAATTACAGTGTAGGAGAAGTAATCAAATAGAAATTCAAAGCAAGAGATCCATCCACAGGCTGTGATGAGAGAATATCTTATATTGAAACAGATCAAAAACAGTCTCACTAAATGATATTAAATGATTGTGCGAATGTTGACTGTTATAAGGTAGATAAGGTAGTCATCTAGAAAAGTTTGGAACCGATTATACTTGCCTCTGTTCTTCAATAAAATGCATGTCCGTACTTAGACCCTGCCTTTGACATTGCTCACATACTCTTTCCTTGTGACCTTTGCTCCAGTGACGCCTTTCCAATAAGAAATGCTTTAATTTGAGGTAGTTACCATACATCCACACTAGATGCTCACTTAGAAATTTGCCAATGTCTGCTATGGTCACTAATGTCAAAGGTATGCCAAATAGTGAAAAGATAATGCACATCATGCGACCCAAATGTGTCACAGGTACTGGATTACCATATCCTGGAATAGAATTTCCGGGAAATGATTAGTTATTAGATCATTGAATAACTACCTCAGTGAGTAATAGAAGATAAAATAAGTACTGTTAATTCTTAAAAACGAAAACAAACAAAAGTCTCACCAATAGTAGTGACAACAGTAACAGCGAAAAAGATAGCAGTCGAGAAAGACCATATTTCGATAGTATCATTAGCACGAACTTCGGCAGCAGTTAAGAAGAATTTTTCAAAGGCGGTGAAAAGATGATCGCTCATATTATGCATATGCTGTTTGGTCACCTGCGACCATACTTCACGTCGAGTCTCATTGAGCATTGCTAAGGTAAACAACGAATTCACGAACTCTTCCTGACGTTCGTATATCATATCCAGCTAAACACTTTCTACAGATGGTTATGATCCTCTAGAGAATGCTTATGTAACTTAGCAGGACTATGTAAACAGCAATCAACAGTGATTATCACATCACGTTCAGGCGTACATAGCAATCATCTTTCTTATCACAAGAATTTAAATGTTACCCGTGAATGATGTACAGCTTTACTCTAGATCACCTCTGTTTTGCTAATATTGAATAACAAAATCTCCTAATATTTACCTGTCGCCTTTTGTTGGCCAATTCATGTGGTTGCTCGACACTATAAAATATTGATGCGCCAACAACCGTATAAGCACAAGTTAATAGTACCAAACCAACATGCGGTAAAATTAGTTTCGCGTACTGAGATGAAGTAAACATAGCAATAATTAACAATCAGACATAAATAGTCGAGAATTGGCCTAGTCAGTTAATTTACATATTTGGATAAATGCGTTTGATGCATTTTCTTGCGATGCGTTTTACAAAAGTCTTTGTATAAGGATACAAAACATTGGGCTTTTTTTTTAATATTTCTTTACTCATTCGCTGTCAAAGCTACAGATAGCTGTAGTGATTAAATTACTTTTAGTCATCTGCATCATTTATAGTCAATCATTTCTAGGTTTGTAAGGAAAAAGACCTAAAGAAATATCTGACTGACTGAATGTCGTACCTAACAAAACATTTTTGATGAACACAGAAATATTAAAGAAAGTGAATGGATCACTCTCAGAAATTCGTGAAGCTGTCAGTTTTTGAAATTTTATCCAAAATGATCATTTGTTGTAATTCTGTTATGCTTTCCTTTTTGTATTTTTGAGCATTTATTTAGAAATAGCTGTAAGATTGGAGGAAACAGTTAACTTAGAGAGAAATGAGCCAAGAAAATGAAGTATTTATTTTGTTATCGCCAACTAGGAAGAGGAGAAAGATCTGACTGACATCTGCTATATTCATCCACTCACACAATTCACAATGAGAACAAAAGTGCCAAGAAGCAAATAACAAATCTTTCATTTTCATGACACATTTCTTCTCTCATCACTCACATCACATATATATGAGTGGCCGGCCTAGTTTAACTCTCTTTCATTATAGTTACAAATATCTCTGCTGCTGCAGTAATACTTATTATAAAGATTCAGGTGTAAAATATGAGAAAGATGTAGATAGCAATTACAATGAAAGTGAATTGAATCAACCCTTACTTTTCTGATACCGCTCTGATGGTCATATTCGTCATCCTCAGTGGTATCTCTTGTTGGCTCTTCACTGGTCGATGAAAGATCGATACAAGTCTGAAAAGATATCATCCAATTCAGTTAGTTCATACTTAAAGCATTAGCTATCACGAAGGCATCATTATATTAGCTTAATTTGCGGTGACAAATGACTTATACTTAATTTATACTACAGGGCACGGGTAAAAGTATTACAAATTCAGTGGCTCAAATCAGGTAAATATTTTCATTCTTCTGAATAAAAAATACCGTTTTATCGGGTACATCGAGAAGATCTCGCCCACTCCAATCTTGATGATCCATCGTAGCGCTGCACTGGGATGTTCTATCCCGATAAAGTCTTTCCTACAATTAAATTTTAGATAGGAAACGTTAATATTGATGTTTCGGTTTATACTAGAATTAGAAAAGTTTACTGTTAAGTAACGACTCTGACAACAAAAATTCCAAATAATTTTTAAAAAGACATGGAAAAGAATATTTCAAGCAGGAGAACTTATTTAATCTGACCTACAAGCAAAATCTAGAATTTCTGAACCATTGTGTAGTTCAATAATTTAAACATAAATACTTGAAATTTTTATCTACAAAATAATTGAAAAATGAATATGAATTCAAGAAGTAAATTAACGAGTTATTTTTTGATTTTGAATAAACAAGTCAAGAAATTTGGTTTGTGAGTTACATATTAGAAGATGTGAAGATATAGTAGAAACGTTGCTTAAAATAGGAATTTAGAAGAAATTTCCCAAGAAAAAGAAATGTCAGAATTGTTAAGTGGAAAGGTACTAATTCTTTTTGGAGGTGTCAAATTACATCTTCAAGTGCAAATATATATATTACCCTTTTGTTCTTCACTTTAAAATAAAATTTTATGAGTGGGAAAAAAGAAAAAAAAACGAAAAGCACACTAGAGAAAAAAGCAGTGTGCGGACAGATCGCATTGTGATAACCGCTACCAATTTTAATTGTTTTTTTTGTGGACTTTATGCTACCAACTTTAAAAAATAATTTAAATTCAATTTTTGCCATTTTCAAAATGTAACCTATCGAAAAAGTCATCAGCTACTTCATTTATCCTCTGAAAATATCCTTATCTAAAAATTACTCGCCAAAAGATAGAAAAGTAAAATTTGATTTCATTTATAAGTATAAAAATTTGAACTGCACAGAGTAATGCAAAAAGTGTAGTCAAAAGTAAGCAGAAACTTTATGACCAATATTTTGCAGCGCAGTTTTTTACGAAAACATCTCGCACCGCATTTTCCGAAGTAATTCAAATACGCTAATTATTTTAAAAGGTAAATGAAGTATTCAAGAATTTTTAATCTTTAAAGAAGAAAACATAAATGACAAACGTATATAAGTTGTTATTTTGTTTTAAAGGACTGCACTTTTTCTTCACAATTGTTTTTTTAAAAGACTTTAAAATTTTGTTAGAAAAACCAGGAAATGAAATACTTGATACACTGCACAAAAGAAAGGACAAAAGAGGAAAGACACAAGAGTAAAGAAAGAGAAAAGGGAAGATAGAAACGATCTTGTCAGGTTTTCAAAACTTTGACTTGACTTCATAAAATTCAAGCAAGTAAATCACAAGACGATTAAAAAATCAGATCAAGAAGAATTACAGAAGATTCAACTCGTGCTTTCTTGTATTGTTCTTTACTACTCTAAATAAGGAGTTACCATTACTCATTGTTTTTCCGAAATCAAAACAAAGTACTTTTTAAAGAAAATAGTGAAGGTGAATTTTTATAACTTTAAAAAAGATAACTTTAAAATTAAGCGTATGGACTAAAGCTCTGAGCATCTTTGAGAAATAATCAATCAAAGATGCAATAAAACGGAAAGATAAGCCGAAATGTTTCATTGTTTAAATTTGATTAATAATTCATTAATGATATTTTAGCATATGAAAAGGAAGAGTTTTAGGAATTTTTGATTAATAAATGACTGATTCATGTGGTAGAGAGCGAATAATTCAAACTGCTTGAATTTAAATATAAACTGACGTTTCGAATAAATGCTTGCGACATTTCTCCCACATGATCATCCAGTTCGTATTGTTCAGGATCATCAGTTAAGTTTGAATTATATGGACCAAGTTCACCATCACCTGAATATTTGTATCGCGCTGAAAAGATCTTTTTCTTATTATCAATTAGCTATGAAAAGGAAAATTGTATTAAACATATTACAATGCTGGTCTACTTTTGTAAGAATTTGCATTCTTGCCAGATTCAGATCGTTAGTCCTTTCAATCTTCTTTAAGAAAAGAAGTGAAAAAGAAAATAACTGATACCAATACAAACGACTTCGATGTAAAAATGACCTACAAATAACCGCAATATGGAGACAACTAAGTTCCATTGCCCGAACTAATAAAATGGAATTTAATTTAAACTTATCCCATTAATAATGTACCATATTTACTGCTGGCAGGTTCGGAAGATAGTGTTGGATCGGAATCGACCCGCAAATAACCGTAATGGTTCATCTTCACAGTTGTCCATCACCACTGCTTATATCTCTTCCGTACAAGTCGCCACTGCTTCCGTAAATGCATTATTGTCTCCAAGATAATATTACTCACTGTAAGTTAACCAAATTGTCCTCCGCTTTTTTTATCCGTCATATAGTAGTGACATTTAATAACTGTGATCCGTAAGTCAAGAAATCAAAATTTCTGAATGAAATTAAAACATTGCAAAAAGCTATCTTACAAGCGTATGCATTCGTTTTTGGTTTCCTACAGGACAACAATTTTTTTCCATTCGTACAGGACGGTTTAACGCATGTAAAGCATCAATGAATTCAAAATCTGGGACAGGTTCCGATTTATAGGATGAAAAATGAAAGATATATGCTCTTATCAAGGAGAAATGATTATGAGACATGAGTCTTCTTAAATTATCTGGAATTCAGTGAATAATGCTCTACAAGATAAATGACGTATCCAGCGACTACAAAAGTTCTAAAAATTTCAGAATTTGAAGAGAGGAAATTCTGATGCTGAAGACACTTGAATTAATAATCAAAAATCAAAAATAATCAAAAAAAGTTAATAATCAAAAAGTTTCTCTGCGTTTCTCCATATTTCATTTCAGTAAATTAATTAAAATTCAAAAAGTCACGTGTCATTTTATCAGTTTCTGTTTTCTATTCATAAGTTTTACGCTCGCATGACCTGTTTTGGCTACCTTGTGAAATGTTGCCAATCGTGATTACCCACTAATCTCGGAAGTAAATTAACAACTAATTATTTTAAATTTAAGCTAGTTTTTTTAAGATTTAAATTTAGGATGATTAAGTTATTAAAATTATTAAAAGTCAAGTTATTAAAGATTAAAGTTATTCTTCTTATTCCGGCAGCTCTAGGCCACATCCTTATCTATTATGAATAAATGGACGGCAACTTCAGTTTTACAACAGTTAACTTTATCATAGGAAGAATATTACTGAAGGACAATGTTTTCATATGACATAAACCCCTTTGTTTCTTTTATGCCGTTAAGGGTTAAGAGAAGAATATAAAGACTAATTGAAAAAAAAAACCGGAAATAAACTTTTCCTGCAGCTAAAACACTTGAAGTTTTTTATCAATTTTATAATGTTCTAGCAGTGGCAGTGATGAAGATTCTCTTTTTACTTTTCTGATTACTTTTTTTCGCTTTATGTTGATCACTAGGATTTTAGCATGATAAAAAGGCGAAAATCTCAACGAATTTGCTTCTGTGATTTGATCTTAATTTTCAATGAACATGACCCTAGAACTGTTTCAGCTGATATAAACGATGACACGAGTGAATCATATACATTAAGTCATTCGTTAAGTCAATTTCACTACTATTCAAATTATTCAATTAAGATTAAAGTCTGCTCTGCTTCTCTGCTTGTGTCATTATCATTTACAATAGAAGTTGTCACTCTCATACCAAAATAAGCAAAAAACGGTAAAAATAGGTGTGTAATGTGTATGAAAACGTTATAAAAAAACAATAAAAAGAAGTAGGAAGTGTACAAGTTCGTCTCATACTTAAGCCATAATTTGTAAAAACTCGTGGAGATCATAACTCCTTTGGGAGTAGCAATGAAATCTATTGCATAAATCATGGACAATGAACAACAATTTCCAAATTCGTTCAAGTAATCTCTTAAAAAGAAAAAAGAATGGTAGAAAGAAGTTTGCAAACAACAAAAATAACAAATACGATACTCATAATAACAGTAACAATAACGATAATATTAATACTACTAATAATAATAATAATAATAGTAATAATTAATAATAATAATAATAATAATAACAATTAATAATAACAATTAATAATAATAATGATAATAATTAATAATAATAATAATAAAACAACGACAACAATAAGGAGTAATACAGTAATAACATAATAACAAGCAAGGAAATGATCATGCCAGGATTATTTGTATTTGAGGTCTTGAAGCTTTCATTCAGTTTTATGGAAGAGAGGGGAAAGGACACAATACTCCTCAAATCTCTTCTTCTCGAACAATGTCCATCAATAATATTTCAGGCATAATAAGACCAGTCAAAAGCATCAAGAAGGAAGAATAATCAAATGTCGTTTTTTCCAATACTAATTTCCACATTTACGTAATTTGAAAAAATGATATATACAAATATCAATGGAAACATTATGATAGCTAATCGTTGGTTGTCTCTCATTTAACAGTTTACTCATTCGTTTTTTACGAAGTTGTTTTGTTCTTCACAAAACAATATATTCAAAAAAGTTTAGTGAAAAGGTATTTTGAAGAAATACGTCTGACTTACATTGCTCTATGTATGAAAATACAGTTAGCAGAGGAATCGATGATTAAGATGGCAATAGGATTACCCTCTATCAAATACTGGGATGATATGCCCATTTTTTTTTTTTTTTTTGATTTAAACAGAAATTCAAAAATTTTAAACGTTTGAAAAAGTTCGGCTTAAAATTTCGAGGAAGTGATCAAAAAGTAAACATTTATTGATTGCATCTCTTTCAAACTGTTTCATCATTATTTATAGCATTATTTTTTCAAACTGCATTTAATAATCTTATTGAGACTGAAAAGTATTCATTACTTGTCATTGGTCAATTGCTAATAGCATTTGTTGTCTTAAGCTGACCTTTTCCATATATCTCTTTCATTCTTTCCTTTCTTTGCTTGTTACCAAATTAATTTATTTGGTCTTAAAATAGCATCATCCTAATTATACAATGAGTAAGCGTTCATGCATTATGCATAGAACTATTCTTTTTTTCTTCTCTGCGTAAGGAAAGGATAAACTAAATTTAAAGGTACCAACAACCACTGCGAGTCAATTTGACCTACTCATCTTATTTCAATAATTGCTACCGTTATCTAATTGAAGCACAGTCTTAAAACAAATTGCTAGAAATATTTATTACCGCAAAAACAGCCAATGATTACATAAGCATTAATCATTCATATTTAACCAACCCGTGGATTTCCGAATTTTTCAACCTCAATAATTCTGCTGCATTTTAATATTTTGACTAATAAGTCTAAATTGAAATGTTTTGAATAGAAATCGACTAGAAATCAAAAGAATTTGCCAAAAGACGTTCATTTCATTATCTCTTCATTGCTATCCCAGCTGTAGATAAGCGATTGTATCAATACTTCTTCATTTTTTCTACATGACGAAAAATTGATAGAATATAAAAGAAATTCCTTATCTCTTTGGCAACAGTTGTTCTTTTTCATTGCATTAAGTCAAAAGACAATTTTGGAGAAGTGTCAACATGAAACACTTACGTGAGGCCATGAAAGAAACAAACATTATTTTCAACTCGATTTTTTGAAAAAAAAATTTAACAATTCCTTTCCGTACGATAATTGAAATGGAAGGAATCGAAAGAGAGAAAAGAGAACTACCATTCAAGGGAATCCTTTAAAAGAACTACCATTCAAGGAAATCCTTTAAACCAAATCAGTCTTATCCTACTCACAGCACCTCTTGTTTTCGGCCACATTTCCCATTAATTTTGGTTCTCCAGAAGTGTAAATGAGCTAATCCATGTCTATCAGGAAACATCGACTAGATCACTTCTCTCCCTTTCTCTCTCTCTCTCTGTGTGTGTTCTCCCTGCCTCTCTCTGAATTAGCGAATGCTATTAGGAGGGACCTTTTACGTTGATTGAAAAATGTTAGAGAATGTCTCTCCTGGGAGTAACACTTCTGCTCTCAGTCCCGCCTGCTCGCGAAAGTATCTCGACTTCTGAAGACACTCCATTATGCAAATATCCAATTTCATCACGAAAACTGGCCAAAGAATCAACTGGTCAACTCTTCTCTCTTTTTATTGCTGTGATTTATGCTTGGCAAAGTCAGAAAAAAAGCATCCCTGGACATTTCGATCAAACACAGAAAAGGCATTCGAAGTGAATTTTTAGCAAGGTATAACCAAGAAAAGTGAAGCATGTAATGATTACTTTGAAGGAATTATTCCACACTTGGAAGCAATAATTATTTTGCCTGATAAAGCCCAAGTTTTCTCAATTTCAGAAGTTTTTAAAAATGTACTGCTATGGACTTCGTATTTTTAGTCCCATACGCTCTTTAACTCCTGTAAATAAACCAAATTTTTGCTAAAGAGTCCATTAATCTGCTGACCGGAATCTTGGGACTAGATCAGCCGAATAGTGGAAATTCAGGAAACATTAGAATCTTCAACATTTACTCAAAAACAAACTGTGGCCGATTGATTGTTTGCAATGAAAATTACAAATTTTGAACGCTCATTTGACAAATTATCTGAGAAAAAAATTAGAAATCAGAAATGAAAATATTCAGAATTGCTAATAAAATAGCAATTAAAAAACGAAGTGATTTTGATAGCGTCGTTGTTTTTGCAGATCTGATAAAAATTCTTAGGATATGGTTTTCGGGGGTCTAGATGATACTAATCCTAATTTGTTCTATAGTTATAGCAAGTTAACAAAAAAATGTTGACATTTATGTTATGGAAAGATATTAAGTATAAGAAAAATGCATATTATCTCAATATTCTTTTTTTATTTTACTTCTAAAACAAGTACAGTTGAGAGAATTGATAATCAATTGCAGTAAAATCTTTTATCAATTGTCATGAGCTTCATTTGAGAAGATTGGAATTACTGGAAAGCAAGAAGCTAATACTTATATCAACATGTTAAAGTAGCTATTAATTTACTCCGAAAAACAATTTACATACTGATCTTTGACAATTTATGATAACAATGTAATTCCTCATGCTACTCCTATCATTATTCTTAAGTTCTTGGAATAGGTCAGGTAAATTGAATAAGCGCATACGGTTTCAAAAAATACTTTACAACCGATAACAAAAATTATCTTATATAACATGATTATCTGGTTAGCACGATTTATATAAATTAAGTTTGACAATACGCAGCTGTTTCTCAGTGAATCAAAAATCGAAAACGGCAAAGTTCAGAATGTCAGTCAAAGAGAGGTAAATTGCGAAAATCAGGCTAGCATATTTTCGACTTTTTGAATAACTCAATTTTTCAACTTGATAAACAAATATCATAAACTCACCTTCGGTCTCTTAATTACGAAAAGATTTCTTCCATTTGAACTTCTAGCATGATTATTGAGCTGAATATTTTCATCATTTATTAAAATAATTACTTAACATTAATGCAGGAGAACAGTGAACTGATAAAAAAGATCAATAAGTGAAAAGTAAATTGTGCGGACAGATAAATTCAAAATTAGAAGCAATAATACACTTCAATTCAGCAGCTTATAAAGTTACTGCACAACTTGAAACAAACGCCTAATTAGCGTTATTTGTTTATGGCTAAAAGGAACTATCGCATGTGAGAGCCATTCAACGGATTGGAAAGACGCTGAATAAAGAAGGATGATGATATGATCTTGTGACTCTAAACGAATATATAGCATCCATGAGCTCTTTTCAACCTGTTCTGCTTTAAGTAGTTCAATTAAATGCTTGTTAGAGACGCCGATTTTTTATACATTTTCAGAGCAAGAAGTGTAGTAAAAAGCAATTTTTTTTTACAGAGCACAAAAAAACGATGCATTTAAAGAGAGAATCTAAATAGCGTCAAATCGATCAACTGGGTTTAATAGAGAAAGGCATTATGCCAATCAATTCAAATCTTAACGAAACGAGAAAATGAGCTGGAAAAGAAGATTAGAGAGTTCTTATCTTTGAAAGAATTGTTTCACAAAATTTGTTTTGTCTTTAAAATTATAAACCCTCATTGATTGATTGATTAGTATGAATAATTACTATCAGATCAATAATTCCATCGGCTCCTGTTTCTACATTATTAATGTCTTCTGAAGTATTAATGTTTTGAAGAAAACTTGGAAGTTTATTTGTGAAATAGAGAAACAACAAATCGAGGAAGTGGTTTCGTCTCGAAGTAAGCTGTCTAAAGAAGCTTGAAGCAAAAAAAGTGCCAGCATATGATGCAATGGCATGGCTTAAAGGAGGAGCAAAATTTGACATTTGATATAAACGAAACATTACTTTTGAATAAAACTGAACAAGTCATGTCTCTTTATTCGCTACTATTTTTGAACAGTTCTTTTAATGGATATTCACTAATAAATTTTCTTACTTACTACACTCGGATAAAACTATGTGTGTGTTTAAGCTCAAAACTCGATTTAACTTTGATCTAAACACTCACAATTTGTTTGTTTCAAATTTACTGTTCAGTTTCCATTCTGAACGAATATCATTGCCATAAGTCGTACTTCTTTAAAAAAAAAAAAAAAAAAAAACTTTCTAAAAAAGATAAGAAATGTATTCGGAGTTTGAAATCGGAGTCAATAAGAAAACCATGAAGTACAGACTACAGCTGTCAAATATTTCAAAAAGTAAAAGTATAGTAATAAGGATGAGGAAAATGAAAAAGTGATGAATAAAGACAAATACTGGTTATATAAATAATTTGAAATGAAGTCATGATAAATGATAATTTTAGATGATAACTTGATATGAAGGTTTCAAAATAAAAGAACAGAAATGTTTGATGGAAGGTACTCTTGTAGTTGGGAGAAATTCATATTATGAACTAATAAAGATCCAATCTGAGATCCTTGATTGCATTTAAACTTTTTAAACTTTTCTTGATAGCTAAAGTATACATCAAACTGAAATCTTTCCTACTGATTGTTTCGTGAAAAAAATATTTCTTCTTAACCTACTGGTAGTTTTTCATCAATAGTAATGACAGCTTTTCAGCAAAATCGATAGTTGAAATTATTAGATAGAAACGACGTTAAGGAACTAAAATAGTATAGTATTGAAACTGCTTACAGTTTCGAAATTAGTCGCTCTTACGTGATGAGAAAAGCGCAGCACGATGGAGCGCTTCTGGGATGATATGCTGAAAATGAACATCAGAAGCAAAGGCCATCATCACTCATCTGTTTACTTGCTGTATGAGCGCAATGTGTAATAGAGATGCATCACCGCACCATCTTACGCAGCTAATAACTGGAAAGCAGAGGTACCAAGGGAGTCTAATCACTCATCGATGTTTGCTTGCTCTTTGCAACAACTGCTGAATTCTATCTTTAATTCTTGCTCCAAACACTGTTCTCAGAATTTCCCCACACAATTAGAAATGAAATTAATGTAGTGGGAAATGAACATGGAAAGTAACTATAAATTAATGACTTTTAAGACTGATAAAGAGAATCATTTGCAATATAATTTGTTCAGAAAACAGCCATCCTTTCTTCTCCTTCCATTCCCTTGTACTTGAATATTTGTATACAAAAAATTCAGTTACATTATCATTTCATTGGTTTATTACTTGTTTAGTTCCACTCTCGCAGTTCCTTTTTGTTTCCTTACTTCAATAGTTGCCGTTTTTTTCTTCTTCGTTCCCATGATGAAAAGGAAATGTGAGCTCTTTATACGCACGACAAGAAGAATGATTATGAAGCTTTACAGTACCCAACGGTCAGCAGAGGGTCACGGTAATGTGACGCAATAGGTGATTGTCTCAGAGAGGAAGTGAAGGAGAAATAAGAAGGAGGAGAAGTATCGGTATTAAAATTACACAGAAAGGAAAAAGAAAAAGAAGGTAGGAGAATGCATTGGTGAAAATAAAAGTATGGCTTCATCAATGTCAGGCCTATCCCTGGAGGTTCCTTTGTTGGCTTCAAGATCTATATATGCTCCCGCCTTAAAGTGACTCAGCTTCAACAATACGCAGAAACCCACTGCAATAATCCGGGATGTATTCCTGCTAATGCAAACATTAATTATCAAACTACAAGTATAAAGAATAGATCAGAACACGAAGTAAATGCATAGAAGGCTATCTTCCCTCTCACTTCCCATTGAAATTAATGAACCAATTTACCTATGTGTAAGTTTACTTAAAACAATTCGCTCCTTTGCATTCAATTACACTGGAAGAGTCAAAGAAAATCACCGAACTTCAGGTTATATTAATTGGCTCGACAAAGGGAAATTGATAAATACATTCTGTCACTAAGCCTGTGAGAAATAGAATGAAATGAGGCGTGTAATAATAAATGATATTAGGGAGACTAACGGATGATAAATTACCTTTGCTTTCTTAGACAGGCGTAGCTGTCTTCTTTTTCTTAAGGAACAACAGAAAACGTACAAAAAAACGTTTCTTTGCAACTTTTAATCGGAAGGAAATCCCTCAATTCATCAAAGAAGAAATTTCCAGTGCAAAATGCAATGTTTCCTGAAGTTGTTACTTCATAAGGATGTTTTATGGCCAGCACACAGTAATCAATTAATTGTTGCTATTTGAAACAAAGTTTCTTTGGTGACCAGAATATGTGTCCGATAAAAAATCCAACTGTTTGAGATGGAATTTTTTACTTCCCACGTTTTACTGCAAACTCTTTAAATTTAACTTAAATGTGTAAAAGTGAAGTCATTTCGCTTCAACTTTATTTTTCAAATAGCTATCCACTGAGGATAGTAAATCGAATACAATCCACATTCTCCGAAATCTGGTGAGACAACAACCCACCCACAGCTAGCTTATCGTTAACTGGCTGTTCAGGGAGAACAATATGAGGGAGGAATTAGTGATCAAGAGTTTAGGTCAAAGGTAATACAGCCCATATTTTGGGGATAACGGAGCAGACTAGGCATCAAGAATATACCTTCTCAAAAGGTTCTGATTCAGAATGCGATTGGACGTATCAAATGGATATTTGGTGTTGTTATTGAGTAGTTCTTAAGATGTCGCAGCTGTCGGTATCCGGGTTTGATTGACTTACTGCTTATTGATTAGTTGGTCATTCTTCCATTTGATACTGATGTCCCCGGCTTACTTTACTTCCACTTTATAATTATGTGGTATGATTTTTCGTGCAGTCAACTATGTAATTCAGAAGTGACATTCAATGAAGACGGGAAGACAACAAGCGATATTTGCTCGAACAGGAGGTGAATTTGTTCAGTCTTTATGTTGCTGCAAAGCTTTTCCTTCTTTTCGTTTTGTGAAGGGAAAAATAACGAGATAAGAGTAATAAATTTGCCGTGTGGGTCAGTGCCATTGTTGCTGTTAATGTAATATTGTTGGTTTCATTACTAGTAATTTTTTGTGTGTAAAGATGTATAATGTAAGTACTCTTTGCTGATTATTCAACATTTATTGTTTTCCAAAAAATATGTGTATCTCTCTTTATTCCTTCAATGAAAAGTCGAAGTCACTGTAAGGAAAAATAAGATAAGTAATGCACATTTTGTTGGTTTTTTCATTTTCATTTTCTCGATAATGGAGCTGCTATATATTGGAAGTGAAATTCGAGAAATCTCTGTACTTATCGTCCCGCTATAGGAATACAAAAAATTGAAAAAAGACGTGGAGAGATTGTGCAGATGTGAAGAAGTGATTAAAATTCAGATTGATTTCATAAATAACAGTAAATCACTCAAAAGCAGTGACTATCCATATGGATGTGAGCTGCACGCTTCATACTTCTTATTTTTTTAATGCTGATGAAAGATGAGACGAAAAGCTTGATTACATCGTGATAGACATGTTTTCTGTTTCATTCTCTTCTTTGTTCCTGTACGTATAGTTTGCTATTTTTAGGAATAGATGTGAAGCAGTTACATTCATGAGCGAAATAACCGTGCAGTCACATCAGTTTTTTCACTGCGGTGAATAGGAACATTGGAGAATATACTAGCGCAATGAACGAAATATTGCAGTGAGGAATTATCAGTCACTGGTGCTATAGTACTTAAGTTTTCTCCGCAAAAAACTGTTGAAGAAATACATAGTAGGTCACTTATCACACAAGAGTAAAAAATTTAAGCGTGATTTTTCAGATTATTGCGTTTATAAATTTATTTCTGAAGTTAAACAGTTAGTAAAGAAATCTAGAGTAAGTAGACCAGTTTATCTTCTACTGAACTAAATTATATAAATGGATAAGAAATTCATATGATATGTTTTATTGGAAAAACTGGAAAATTGAAAATTTCATGCTTTTCTTGAATTGAAAAGAGTCATCAGTGGTACTGAAAATTTTCGTCCGCATCTGCAACAACTAAGATTCCTCTGCGGAGAGCATTTCATATGACAGCAATTTAGAGATCATCTTTGTTAATTATGTAATGCTGTGAAGAATTTTTTTCAGGCCGTTGTAGAAAAGTTCTTTTAAACACAATGTCATATCAGGTATTGCAAGTCTATTCTTGGCGTACTCGTCACTCCTTTAATACAAAAAGCATGCCATATTCAAGCTTAAAATTATTCTCAATAATATGGTTTCTCAATAATGCATGTATATGTATCATTTCACTGAGCTATAAAATTGGATTTGTAATGGTCCCATGATAACAAGAAGCTATTTGGAGATTTCGTGCCAACTTTTTAATTTCGAAGTTTTTTTTTTGATATTTCTTGGCCCGCCACTAATTTCATTATATTTAACTGGAGAACGTAATAGAATATAATTTAATATATTGTGTCTTACATTTCTATGCTGTTTTTGTTTTTTATACCTTTGCACTTTGTTTTTTTCTATTTTTTTTTTTTTTTTTTTGTATTCATGGTCTTAAACAGAAGTGTTTTTTATGATGCCTTATGATATAAGTTCAATTTCTATTTTCGGATTTTCCTACATCGTCCTATGATCTGCAGAAATAAATATATAGCAGCAGTGATTGCATTATGTTTGCCTTAGCCTTGCTATGGACTAAAACGAATTACATTTAATATGGTGATAGAGGAAACAAATAACTTTCAGTGGTTAACCAACAATAAATACTTTAAAGCTAAGTAATGATCAGCATACAGTTTTGACATAAATATACTTTTTTTATATGATAAAAAGCATATAGTTATAACATGCTAAGGAGCTTCATTTATGGTGATGGATATTGTATTGGACTTTTGATTTGAAATTCAGTTTTTTGAATTTAGGCTGAATTTAAAATTCAATTTTTCACTATCCCATAATTTTGGTTCTTGTACAGAATACATGGAAGTCGACTTGCACATGTTTATAAAAAAATTTGCTTGATTAGTCTATGCTGTGGGAATAGAAGATTCAGTGATATATTACATGACTGTTCCTTAAGTATAGCTTGACACTGAAACTGAATTTTGCAATAAGTGGAATCGCTATAAAATTCGGCTTTCATATTTTAATCTTTAGATTTGGAAGCTGTTGTGAAGCGACATGGACGACGGCAAAATAATATTAATTGGTAATGAGGGTGATATTTTGCACTGTGGGTATAGTCACACTCTAAGCGATGGCGGTAAAAGGTGAAGATTGCAAATTTTATTTAGCTTTTATCGGCCATAAAAATCCATATGTCATACTGTTTCTGATTTACAGATATCCGTCGGCTGACCATTATGCTCATGCAATGATTCTCACACAGCTTGGTTTAGATGAAGCACTTATTTTAGAGCTTTTATGCACTTCGAGTGCTGATGTTCCAGTTAAGGTGTGCTTTTTTTCACACTTTTATTCCAATTCCCTTTCCAGTTTTCATTGCCATACTTCTTAAAGGCTCGTCAACTGTTACAAGAAAATATGCCAGCAGGACATGATATGAATTCTCTGGCCAATTATTTGCAAACAAGTCGTCAATCGTATACAATGCAAGGACTGAGGATACGAGTGGAGCAAGATGCAGGTAGAAAAAGAAAGCTGAAATTGAAAAAATGATTCTTTAATTTGAGAATTGTTTGACATATTATACTGGCATAATAATGATTATTGGTGATACATAATCTTAACTTTAAGCTTTCGAAAAAGCTTTGATGGATACGAAGGACGCATTGTTGATTGTTTGTGATGCACGTGACAGTGAACTTGGAATTGGTATGGATGAGGATACCTTTGTTGATTGGATGGGGAAGGAGAAAGTTGATGCTGCGATGTTGGGACATTGGATGCGGAATGAAAGGGGTCGACCACCACAGCTGGGACATAATCAGCTGGGATATTTCCTTATGTGGTTAAGGTAACTTATTTTGTTTCATTGTTAGTTGTGAGGCTTGTTTTTTGGTATGCAGAAAACTGGCTTAAAGTAATATTTTTTTTTTTTTTTACTCTAGCTGTTATTAATAACTGTGGAATAAAAAGCTGATTACAGGGTTCCATAAACAAGCTGTATCTTTTTTTCAAATCATTTGCTCATTTCTAGTAATTACGTTATTTCCATAATGATTTCATTTCACAATGATTTTTCAGATATGAGGTATCTGAAAAAAAACGGGCCTCTTTACTTAGCACGCAGTCCATCGAAGTGGATGGTATTTCAACTGACCAAAATGGTGACACAGTAAAAACAACTACGTCTGATTTGGTCCTTTCACTTCAAGTAAATTCGTTGCTGTCTTTTACTACTAGTAGTGATTTCCACTGAAATAAGCTGCAGATTTTTTATACTTTTCTTTTTCAGGGCATTTTCCGACCTCTGAGTAATTATTACGCACTACCTTTTGATATGAAAGGGGAAAAGTACAGATCAGTGGAACACTATGCTTACCAAAGGCTTTTTGACGCTCTTCGCCTCGACGATAAATGTATTGGTGAGTCAAGAATATTGAAATAATTCGATTTCAAATAATCATTTTGCGAATTGCAGTTTAAATAACTCCCTTAATATTTCTTTTAACTGTAGAAAAAATCCGAACTACTGTACATCCAGCAGATGTTTCGCTTGTTGCCAGAAGAGTTTTCAAACAACAAAAGGTATTATCATAATCTTTTGTTACATTATCAATAGTTGTTAAGTGATGTTTTTTTATGTCCTGTTAACTTTATTATTGTCTTTTTAAGAGATAGGCTAAAGTTCAACAGGGTCTACTTTCTGCACAGTATTATATATAGCTTTATTTGACTTAGCAATTTGTTTTATGTGGTTGGATTTTTGACAGTACTGATAGTTTTGCATCCTGGCACTTAGTCAGATATACATCACTGAGTTTTTGAATTCCTATTTCACTCCAACATTTTGTAGCTTAGTGATGGAGCAGTGGATTCAAAGATGGGTCGTCTAGATCGATGGCGTCAATCTGCTATGAAACATAAGGTTTCTTCATATCTTTAAAACTTTTATGATGTAGCACAATTCCCGTTTATTTCATTTTTTTTTTTTTTTTGACAGATGACGAAGAATGAGGCTCTACAACAGTTACTGCTTTCCACTGGGCATGCATTATTGATTGATACTACAGAAAGTAATAAATCATGGGCATCTACAGCAGACGAATTCGAACTACAACATTTATTGACGAAACGATACATTCTTCCGAGCACAATCATCGATTGGATGACTGAACGAACAAAACCTCCATCAGCTCTTTCCCATATCAGAGTTTGTTTCATTGTCAGAAATATCATACAATATTTCTTCTTTGTAGTATAAAGTACTAAATGAGCGACTATTAATACTCTGAGAAATACTGTACTGGTGATTACAGCAATAAATACGTTCCAGTCGCGTTGACAAATAATGTCGTCTGCTTGTTTCCACTTAATTGTTACTGAAGTCATTTCGGATTTTGTTTTACTCATTTATATTTAAGTATGTTCATTAAGACGAAAAAAGAAATGAAATTTTGCGATAAAAAATCAAACTTATTCTAATTTTAGGGAAATAAGACAGGACTTTTATTGATGGAGCTGCGTTCTAAATTTGCCGCCTTGTCGTTGACACAAAATCGTATTCCATTGGTGTCACCGCTAGCAACAGCAATGGAATTACGGACTTTATTGTCAGCCCACATGATTTGTTTCACAGCGGAAAGTGTTTTTCATTTTTTATATCCAGCACAGATTCGTTTACCGAATTCAGCCGAAACATTACCTTCACCAGCTCATTACATAGCTAAGCAAGCTATAAGGTAGAGAAGCAATTATTACAGCTTTTTTCTCTTCATTGATTTCTTAACTAAATTAAAATGTTGAAATAAACTTTGGACATTTATTTTCATTCTTAAATTGCTAAAGAAGGAATTCAATGGGAGATCTACATTAAAAGTGATTTCAGGGACGCTTTCAAGAAGTCCCAGCTGTATAATTTAGTTAGATGCTTAATGTGGTAAAGGGAAATTATGTGCTTAGTTATCTTTGATGCTATCTTATTTCAGGTATTTCAACATCTGTACAGAAGAGGCTGCTTATATAAATGAAAGTATGCACAGTACAGAATGTTGGTATAGGATGAACACTACAATTGAATTAAGTAACTCAACACTTGACAAAGTTCAGGTGAAAGCAATATTTTAATAATTCCATTTACATCAAGAAATTCATAAAATTTTTGCTATTTTTTTAATCGAAAGTTATACTTTTTATTGTCTACAAAAGTTTTTCCCACCACCAAAAAACATAGTGTGCCACAGTCATGATGGACGAACATTAGGTTCTTTGATATTACTTATTAACTGTTTGTCTCTGAATATTTATCTTGAAATTCTGAATAATTTTGTATGTCGCAGCAACGTGTTTAACCAACATCTTTTTTTTTTCTGAGAAATATGCATAGAAATGTGATTTACAGGGATGGTATATGGATGAGCGTCAGCGTGCAATAAAAGTTGCATTGATGATGATGTTTGAACAGCATCCCCCACTCATGAGAGCATTATTAGATACGGGAGATGCGCTGTTGGTTTACTGCTCAAGGTATTCATCGCTTGAAGCTGAGCTTACTGTTGGTATGAGAGAACGAGATTTACGAGCGTGGTTAGCACAAATTGATATCGATACTAGACAGGTTATTTTGCAAATTACATCAAAATTATTCGTTTGCTTTATTGTTCAAGCTTTTAAATGACATCAAGATGAACATCTGATTTATAAATTAGAGATGACTGCATAAAATATAATTGAAAAAGTTTTGTGTTCATTGGAAACTGTGAATTATTGAAATTTGGAAATTGCTTGTATCCAAATGATTACAAATAATAACACATGGCTGATACTTACTTTTAAGTGTTGATCTTATTCAAATGCTGATATTAATAAATATAGCCTTCGCTTAATGCAGTTTGTTGCAGCTTTTTGACTCAACAGTTCGTCCATTGGCATTTCGACCACCATACCTTGGTGGAAATCGATTAGGATTAATCTTGATGGAAATAAGGCGAGAATTTATGTTACGAGGAGTTTTTCCGCAGCAACTTCCCGAACTACAGATTGGTGTTGAAGCGGTTCGTTTCTGTAATGTATTGGGTTCATACATATGCCAACAATTCCAATTCTCATGTAATTCTTGTAGGTTCTTGGATCTGAATCACCGGCTGAAAATTATGTATCGATCTATCCGTTTGATGTATTAAACTCTGACAATTTTTCGGCGCTTTGGACAAGTAAACATTGTTTCCTACGTCGCTTGCTAATGCAGTTTATTTATAGTCTTAATTACGGCTCTCCAGTTTTGGTTTTCGTAATCAGATCAATATCATAAAATTTAACTATAGACCACTAACCTACAAAATTCAATGATTTAGATTTTATTGTGTAAGCTTTGTTGTTTATGGAGAATTGATGCATAACCATTACTAGAAAACTAAAAGACTGTTTTTAAGCCAAACAAATTTCACACCTTATTACAGATCCATTTTTGTTACTTGCAAAACAGAACAAGGATGGCGAACTTTGGACACAAGCAAATTCAGTTAAATTGGCACCAAAACTGATATCAATCAATGAAACGACACTTTCTGCTATAGTTGATGGTATGTACCTTGTTTTGCTGAAAGTAGTGGATGATGTAAGTAACCATAAAATGTCATTTCTTTGTAAAGCAATAACAGTAACACGTAGTGCAGTCATCTTTACTATTTCTAAGAAATCCATAGATCCAATATTTTCTACTTAATTTATCTCTTGAAACATTTTTAGTTAATTTATTTCCTAGAGTTGGACATTATGGAGAAAGTTACGGAAGAAGATCTGGAAAACTACTGCATTGAAGATCTGCGTGCTGTTTTTGTCCGCTTAGCACTCCGAATGCGAAATCGCTTAGTCGAAACTGAGGCGCAGCAAAGCGAAATGAATCTTCTAGCAAGAGAAATTACTGCAATGCAAAATATGAGGCGGTAAATGGTCTGCTTGGTGTGAGATTAAAAATGACAGCCTTTATCCCAAATATTCATAAGTTAATCATCACGTAATATAGTTAGAATTTTTTCTTAATTTTCAGAGCACTAGAAGAAAGGAAAGCACAGTTAGAAGGAGGACCTACTCAGGAACGGAGAGAAAAACGAGAACTCCTTGCGCCTTTAGCTCGGACTGAACTACCAATGCCTTTGATGCGTGGCTATTCTCCACCCCGGAAATGGGATGAGAAACGTAAGCCGATACAACGACGATACTCACCTCCTGAGGAAAAGATTCCACGACGGCGTAGTCCTACTCGGTTAAAGTCACCCACTTCACATATATCTCGAAAATCATCACCCTCTTCAAAATCACCACTGAAACAACAAAAAGCGACAAAACCACCCGTTGATGAAAGCGAGTTATCCGACGGAGAAATCTTGAGCGATTAATTCCATCCTTTTACATGAGTAGCAGTATTATAATTTCATACGCCGTCCAATGGGAACAAAGTACTCAGCTACTTATCCCCAACTGTCCAAGTTTCTCATTGTATTGCTGAAATTGGATACTACAACCATGGCAATAAAACATAACGAAATATATTTGGGTGATATATTCGAAAATACCTATTTGTTTCCAAAATACTTCATAAGGATATTGGAATGGGAGTTTTTTTTTGCGAGGTCCAAGTTTATTTGTGGCCATTTTTCGATCTCCTTTGAACATTTAGTGCTGTGTATATTGTTATTGTTGCCATTTCTGGACTTTATGAAAACTATGAATCAAACAGAAAATTTTGAATAATGAATTTGGAGTTTTGGAGCATCCAGAAGCTACCTTTTATTTTGAAATCATATTAACATCAAAATTTATTAGCGGTGGAGGTAGAACATTCAGGAATTAGCACTACAAACAAAATAAATTTTTTTCTTTTAATAGAAGATTTCACCACTTCGCAACTGCCATAAAGACTTTGCTGACAGCAGAACTTTATTATCCTATTAAAATAGCTGTCAATCACTGTCTCGTGTAGAGATTATCTGAAGTTTTCCTGCCTAACAATATAAATCCTCAATGATTTGATCAAAGATGTAGTATAAAGAACATCTGGATAAGTACCCTAATCAGATACATTAAACTTATGAAATCAAATGCCTTTATTCCTCCAACCAGTAAGATCAATATCAGAGTCATCATCGCTCATCTGCCCCATTATTGGTTCGGTATTTCTTCCACTTTTTTCAGCTACTGTACTATACAATTTATCTCGTCGCAGCTCTAACCGATTTACTCGTTTCCATTGATCGATCTGCAAAAGAAAAGAAGGTTAAGCATATATTCCTACCAATTTATGGAATTCTAAGTATTATGAGATGTAAGAGAAACAAAATTTCGGGATTATAGATTGTCAGCACAATGACGCACCTGCTCATCAATGAGTTCAATATCATGCTCAACAGCCACTATATGCTCTTCATTTTCTTCACGGTGCTCTTCTTCATGTTTTGCGTCATCTAACTCTCTTATGAAATCTGCATATTGTTGTTCGATATTTGCCTGCTTTTCAATGGTGTCAATAACCTGAAATATATCGTAGTTTGGTAATATGTCCATTAGCATACAAATGTAGTCTTAAAGTAGGAATTTTAAAGCATGAAATGCTCGAGACTGCTGTTCTCAAAATCAGAATTATATATATATATATATGTTGAAATGAAGACAGTATAAATTCTAGTTGAGTTATGTATTACTCAAGAATGATGCATCTTGAATAAAGATGCATTCGTTCTGTTTCTAAACTTAGCTTCAATTTTAAATAAAAACAGTGTATTTGCGATGTTAGCTTACTCTGCTGTTCAGTTTTTCATCTTCGAAGAAACCTTCAGGCACTCCTTCGATAATATTTTTCGTTTGATTATATGTCGTATTACTTCCAATTATTTTTGACGTAGAATCTTTCTCCCAAGGAGTACTTTCGTTAAAATCTTTTGAAGTCGGCTCCTTCACCACTGCAAAAAATAAAGTTAAAGAACCCAACGTCTTAGCGAAAGCAAACTAAGTAGGAGGACGCGTTAACCTTTCATTTTTTTCAAAGGTGCAGTCGAAAGAGACGTGGTTGACTCATTGGAGTTTCGTTTCATTAAAGTTGCACTGGCCGTTGCTGCCTTTTTGAAACTGATAACATTTTCGCGGTGTTTTCGACCGTTTGAATGAGCTATCCATAATTTGCTCTTCACCTTCAAAAACTTAATAAATTGCCTTATGAGCTTATTACTCCAGATGAATAGGAGTACCTTCGAAGATTGCTAAGTGATAAAGTAAGAAGACAGGGCCAACCTGTACGTTACAAATGATGCACAGAAGTGAGCCATTTCCTAGTGTTCTTACTAATGCTTCACGAGACTGTGAGCTCACTGAGCACGACGCTGCATGCATCTTCTACCTGCAACTGCACCAACCAGTCGCAATGATCCTCTCCAATTTGTCACTCATCGGCCATCCGCTCAACCGCTATTTACACCGGGCGCTATTGAGAAACGGAGTGGGAGGGGAAGGGAGCGCGCACAGCTTCTTAATTATGTTGGGGTGGTCGTCTGCTAGCTTGTTGCTTATAATTTCCATGAGTAAATGAAAAGTGAGGATGTGAGTAGGTCTAGATCGTCATTTTGGTTAGTGCTTGTGTCTATCTACATCGTATGAAGCAAACTTTAGCAGAGAACGCATTTATGCAATGTCAGCGGGATCATCCAGAATATTGGCCAAAAAGGTACCGCAGCGTGTTGTTGATGTAGCAGAAGAAGTACAGGACTGGGAGAACCACATTATTCTCAGGTTTCCTGACAATATAGCTGCAAAAGTCAGTGAGTTCTATTACTGCCTTCTTTTCTAGTCAGTAATACTATTTTTTTGAAAAAAAAAAAAAAAAAAATGGAGAAGCAGTCTATTGCAGGGAAGATGATTGATGAATCTGGCGATAGTGAACTTGCTATTGGGTTCCAGCCAGATATGCGAAATGCAACCATACAATTTCAGCAACAAATCATGTCTGCAAAGTTGTTTGATCTACCTTGTATTGTTGAAGTTAGTTATTCTCAAATGGCATATTGTAAGAACAAGATAAACTGCTGCACATGTCATAGAAGGGTGGTAAGGCTATAATGGAATTTCACATGATGAATCAAGCTGATACAGAAGTAAGTACATGTATGTATGCTTTTGTCGTAAATGTGCGTTTGAAAACTATGTCCTTAACAGTCATTTGGTTTTCTTTTTATAGCGTACATCTGTTGACATGTGAATATAAAAAAAGCAACCAAAATCGCTAACAAAACTTATTGAAATCGTAGCTTTTTCAAATTAAAATAGCCTTCATTTGTAGGTGATGAAAACTATCGATAAAAAAAATGTTTACAAAGTCGCTGATGCATCTCAAATTATGATCTGTTCGGATAATTTGCAACCTATCACAGAAACATCACTTCAGAGTGATACGTCGAAATCGAAACGTGATAGAATATGGCAGTGGCCTCATGGACGTCAGTTTCTTTCTTCATAATTTTTTTAATTTGGAAATATTTTAATAAGATAATACTGGAGAGAATATGCTAGAACAGATCTTCACTAATACTTATGCAATTCTTTTCAGTCACTCCACCAATGAAAAGTGTGAGGAAACGACGTTTCCGTAAAACGAAAAAGAAGAAATATATGGACGCACCTGAGGTTGAACGTGAACTTAAACGTCTTTTAAGAGCTGATATCGAAGCTAGTTCTAGTAGATGGGAAGTAAGTGTAATTATACATTCTCGCATACTGTTATAAGGAGAATCGGATTTTCATGTTTATAAATTTCGTTCCTTCACAAATTTTAGATTGTTACTCCTGAGGAAGATACTAAGAGAGTGGACATTTCTTCAGTCCCTGTGGAAGCTCTTGTTCTTGGAGAAATTAGCAATTCGGACGATGAAGCGTCGTTAAAAGAGGTTATATCTTTTGTTCTGGAACATATTTCTAGAGAGAGTTGCTAGTTTTTAAAACTCAAGTGACATCAACATACTTAACTAATATTTGTTCACTTTTAGACGCACTTTACTTTTACACATTTAACGTATATAGCATTATGAGTTATTGTGTACTGCTGAAACTACTGCATTTTTGAATGAATGTGCTACTTGCTGTTTTCAATAGCCTACGACTGCATTCTCTTTCACTAAAAGCACAGAATAGATCATCGCTTTTAATGATATTTTACATGCTATGTGTTATTAACATTATCCTGAATTTCAGAGAAAGCAGCAGCTTGAAGTTCATTCTGATTCCATTTCTCGAACTGATAAATTTGTATAGCAATTTATAATTCCAGCTAAAGTGCTCGTGTAACTTTATGTAAAAGCTGTTAGGAATTGATGAAATAAAGTTCTAAAATTGTCCTATGGTAAGTTGTGAAAAAATAGCGTTAATTGTCCATTGTATTAGTTGTTTTTTAAAGTTATTTGACATGATATATGTATGTCCTCTTTTTTCTGATAAAGAAGTAATTGCTAGTGTTTACTTTCTATGTTTAGTCTGTAAATTCGTATAGTTTATAGAATCTAAAATTTATCTCGTAATTTCCTTTTTGATCATTATTCTTCCTTTAACATGAGAATTTATTTCACCTGCAAAAAATATTTGCCGAGTTTATTTTGCTTGTATTATTTGTCCGTTATTTCTTTGTCATTTAGATTAAAGATGAATGAAATTCCGAATGAAGAATATTCCATTGACTTCCGCTTTCTCATTTATAAAAAAATCTGTTCATTGTTGAAAGATAAATGGTGTATAATATTTTATGCTTTCTGCATCACGGGTGTAGGTGCTGGAAGCAATAGGAATTTGGAAAATGGAGTGGTGTGACTTATGATGAATCAAGTATAAGTTCGAAATACTGGATCTTCTCTTGTTACTCGGTCTTTTTTTATTGTGTTGCAGTGGAAACGAAAATTTTTTTGAAGAAATTTCTTGTGCAATATTTTTTGAGAATATGTCATTGCCTAATTTTCCTGTTTTCGTTCAACGTTACTTGTAAAAACTTAGAAATATAAGGTTTCAGTTATATTGTAATCGATTTTCATTTTTAAAAATTTTTCTTCTAATTTTGATTACTTAAATAGGTCATTGATAGCTACACTAGGTTTTAAAAACATGGCTATGGATCATGATGGATATTCGTATGTTTGTTGCCTGTTTCATTTTATCGGTTTTATTTTTTTGTGTGCCGCATTTCTTTAACCTCTTAAAGTTTTTTCTTTAAAGTTTTTTCTTTAAGAGGTTAAAGAAATGCGGCACACACCTGTTTTGGACGTAGATTTATTTCCTGGATTTATAGGTAATACTTGACCTTTTTAATGATTATGTCTTTCTGAATATTACTTTCTTTTCTTTATAACAAATGCAAGAACAATTCTAACTCTATCATCGCAGTATATAATATGTTTCTTCAGTAAATATTATTGAGCACAGCGGTAACTGTTTTGGTGATTTTATGGTTCATAAAACATTTTTTCAGGAAGATAGATTTTTATGATTATCTTATATGAAATTCAACTAATTTATTATGTAGCTTAAATAATTAGTAGAAGAAATATGTCGACAAAAGATCCACCGTTTTTATTAACAGGTCTTTAGTTAAAGAGAACGAAAATAGGATTCTTTAGGCTCTAGTCGTACAGTTTTTCGTTTTGCTTGTTTCATTTTATATATTTATGGACGATTTATTGCAAATGTGGAATGAATTTCCACGAGTTTCACAGACTTACTAATTGCTTCAGACTGGGTTGTTAACTATTTGGTTATGAAGCTGACGAATAGATTAGTACTTATGTGCCTTGTAGAATGGAATGGAGCTTTTAATTATGGTTTAAATGCACATGCGAAGTGTTCATTACTTGGAATTTTTCTGAGAGAAAGTTGGTAATGTACAGCTATTTAAGACAGAATAGATGAATTTATTGGGAAGCAGTGATTTGTAACGGTCTGTTCAGTACAGATTTAGTGCAGGTCTGTTTATTCAATTCATGCTTATTCAGTACAGAAGGTTTCACGTTAATAATTCCACCCATACGTGACAGTATCTTGTATAAATTTTCTGGATAAGTTTGAGACATCCACTTTCAATCCTTCGTTTTTATTCGCTCTTAAATACTTTTTTATTAATTAGTTGCGTCCATTATTTTGTAGATTTAAATAAAAGTCATTCAAAGTATCTAGTGTATATTCGAAAGGTAATGCTGAAAAGTGTCTGGATAAAACTTCGGAAATGGTAAGCAGTTATAATACATTTTGGTTGTAGATCCGATTTTAAAACTAAATTAGCGGTACTTGTTCGCACTGGATAAATTTTTGGTCATATATACATTAGTTATGCCTTTTTTGGTGGAGAAAGATGGATTTTTTTATGTGTTGTTAGTAGGTTGGTTTTCATTTTAAAAACTTTTAAAGATGAATTTTTATGTGCTGTGTAGGTCAGTTAATGGATGAGAATCTCATGTATATTTCTTTTTAGGCCATCCATTCTGTTGTGTTCACAAATTAGACATATCATTTGTCTTCAAACACTTGTTTTAGTTCTTATTCACGCTTTAATTTTATCTGTGCTTGTGGTTCGATGTTTGATCACATGAAAAAATGACAAGAAGCTTTTGTGCTGTTGATGGCAATAAATTTGTTTATTGCTGGTCTGGATATCTTTATTTTTTTCAGGAATGAGAAGAATATAGCTTTAGTTTAAATGATGCAAAGCTAATTATGACGAATTTTATGAGAAAATTCGTTTCTAATAGTAAAAAAAGACAGAAGCCATGTCTTTTTTTAATCTTCTTTGCTTGATTTCAAAAAAAAGAAACATGTTTTAGGATGGAAATGAAGGTTATCTAGGAATCACCATTGATACATCAAGTTCTACCACGTCCGTACACATTTGGGACTATCCCTTGTCAGGAATGGGATACAAATACATGATAATAAATTGTTGACGTCACATTATTGTTTTCCTCTTTCATGGATTATTTGCTAACTGCAATACCTTTTTTCCTAGTTATCTCCTTTTTCTGTTTTTCTTCTTAATTTATTCTTCTTTATTGTTTCTGCTTTTGTCTTGCCGTCATGATAGTTCTTATATGAATACACACTCTGTTCCATGTCATCTCTTTCCCACTGTTTGATAAATATTTACGTTTTCAGTTTCATCCAAATTCATTATGGCGGATGTTTTCCATCATTGATAGTTAGATATTTTTGCACCAATATAGATTAAAAACAGTAACAGCTGAACAAAGCAAAACACTGTAAAAGAAAATATATAGTCAAGTTAGTTAGTTTCTGAGCTATTAATAACTGATTGAAGTTATCAGTTTGCTGTCACGTTATTACTGAGATATGACGAAGCTTCTGGTCGTTGGAAACCGATCAGGTTCCATGCTTGCACTGTTGTAGATTTGTAGAAACTTTTTCCCTTGTTCAAAAAATCGCTAAGCGGAAAAAAGTGTACTTATTGATATTTTACAGTGTAGACATTCTTGCATGCGAGAACGAGATCTTCAGAAAACCTTCAAAGGTGCAATTAATTGTGTTATTCACTAAAACTATCGACAGGTTAAATTTCATTCTTTTTTCTCCACTTGCTTTAAATCTCATTCAGTCTTTCTCAGAATGGAAAATTGACGTCATTTGTGATAGGTGCTCTCTCACCATTTAAGTCTGCATAAGAATAAGAAGTTTTTAAGTATGTGTAAGATATATACCTGAGAGTCATTTCTGGGAAGTCATTGTCGGAATCATTTCCAAATGAATTCTTAATCATTAAATTACACTTTTAACAAATAACTTTGTTAGTATTCATGATTCTCTGTTAGTTTAGTTTCTTAAAAAGTTTGAAATAAAAAATTAAAAGAAATGCACTGAATTTTTTCTCTTCCTGTCGTAAAAAAAGATGTATATTGGTAAGTCATTTCCGGTGAAAACTTAGCTAATCTGATCGATGGAATCAACTGTTGTAAGGCTTCGCTCGCTCTCGCAATAATAATAATAGTTGTTGATGAATTTTTAATGATGTCGTTGCAGGCATACATGATAATCATCACATCGAATTGATTTGTGTCTCATCATTCCCAACAACCACAGTGACGACAACAGCTGAACTGATTTGTTGGCGTTTCTGGGCATGTGAATGTCGCGACAATTATGTCGATGGCCTGATGTTAAAAGTAAATTGTTTCCATCCATTTTTGATTGTAATGTTGAGAAGTAGCTTTTAACTAGATATTATTTCCTGAAGAACTGAAAAAATAGTGGTTCTTAGGTTTGATGCTGCAGATGCTAAACAACAGTTCTGATCAATCAATAAAATGATCGAAAATTATTTGTCAAACTACTAATACTTCTTTTAGATGATATGAAAACGAGTACTGGCTAATCTATCACCATGTGTTTAGGGATGGAAAGATTGCTTAAATCGTGTCATTTTAATTTTAAATTTGATGACGAAATAGTTGTTTTTCTAATATTCATTAAAACGAATGACTTTCAGAAGCTTTTTGAAACTGTAGAGAAATTTTCGGTAAGGTTGTGTCTCTCACGCATTCCTTTCTTTCTATTTTTAGACGGAGGCAATTTTAAACGAGAAAAGCATTATATTTTTTAAAATAAACTGGGAGATAAACAAATATATAAATGCGTTATTTGCTTAGTTACTTATATTACTACTTTCAAAATTCTAGTCCACATATTTTCAGAAAAAAAAAATTGTCTTTCAAATTCTTTGTGTGTTCATATCGTTTCCATCTTTTTTATTATATTATACTCTAAATTTTCATTATATTTTAAGAAGAAAATTGTACTATAAGATTTCTGTTCATATGTTTATCTCATTTTCTAGTTATTTGAGTTTCTTTCAATTCTCATAAATTTTAGTTTTCTTTTAAACTGATGTAGCGAAGCTTTATTTGTTTCGTATGTTTGGCATTGGTATGTTTGCAAAAGAACGTGGTAAGAATAAGATAAGGTCAATTTTTTGCATGTGTTATATTTGGAATGAGAAAGAAGGACATGAAAAATTCAGTGGTCGAACAAAGTTTTCCATCCTTATCTTCACAGAATTTGGTTGACTAGTTGAAGTAATTGCAGATGATCATGGGTTGTGAGTTTCTTTTATTAGGAATTTAAATAGAGGAAGATTTACTAAGCTGCCATCTAGAATGACAGTGGACTTAATAAGAAGTTTTGATTTTAATATGTCTGACCGTATCAAAATCCTTTATTTCTGTATATGAAATACTCTGTCACAAATGAACAAAAAATAGGACGACCTG